ACATCCAAGATTAAAATAAATGGTCATGTTTATAACTCGATTACACTGGAGCGGGGATGTCATCAGGGATGCCCCTTGAGTCCCATGCTTTTTGCACTATTCATAGAGCCATTAGCTCAGGCAATTAGAGAAGATACAGAAATTCTAGGAATTCCAATGAAAGAAACCGAACACAAAATATGCCTGTATGCGGATGACATTCTTATGACTATTTCCGAGCCAGACTCCAGTTTACCTAAACTCATGTCTTGTCTTGAGCAGTTTGGTTGGTATTCAGGATATAAACTAAATTTACACAAAACCCAAACCCTCTCTTTTAATTATTCACCACAGGAAAATATACGTAAAAAATATAACTTTAAATGGAAAACAAACCTGGGGGTTATCATACCGAAGAATTTGGCTAAAATTTATATGTCTAATTATGGATCTATTACGAAGGAACTGAAAGCAGACTTGAATAATTGGACACCTCTAACTTTTAGTTTGTATAATCAAATAGAAATTATAAGGATGAATGTTTTATCGCGATTATTGTTTTTCTTTCAATCACTACCTGTAGAGATACCAAAAAAACTATTTAATGACTGGATCCCAATGATCTCAAGATTTATATGGAAAAATCAGAAACCCAGGGTAAGACTCAAAACACTACCATTACCAAATTAGGAAATGAGAGGACTGTATCTTCCCTGTTTGGAGGATTATTATAAAGCAGCACAATTAAAATATCTAGTTTGCTGGTGTATTGACGATTATGATGCAAAACGGAAAGAATTAGAACTCAACCAGCTAGACTTTCCTCTCCCTTCTTTATTAGGGGGCAAAACTACTAAGATTATGTACTCTTAACAAATTAAGCAATTTGACATTAGTTCCTCTTAATACTTGGTTCAAAGAATGCAAAACTCTGAAACTGGAAAAATAAGCACGGCTGCTAAGATGGGTGGCATATGTGCGGTTTAAACAATGGATATTTACATCATATTGTACAGTTTCATCCAAGATTGGTTTAGAAAGCTTCCAACATCTTATTGATACCTATAATTTAGAGAAACACGATTTCTATAGATATTTACAGCTTAGAAATCACTTTAATAAAAATATTAATAATAAGGAGGCAACTGAATTGAGTCTCATAAACGTTTTTTGCTGATGCATATAAAGGTGGTATTCACAAGAAACTGGTGTCAAAAATATATCCATGTATACAGTCCTCTAAGTCTCACTCTACCTGTTAAAGAAAAATGGGAGGAGGCGGCGAATTTAATTATAACGGAAGAAGATTGGTTAAACATATACAAGTCACAGCATGCAACTTCCAGTTCTGGTCAGTGGAGAGAATTCTCATGGAAAAACGTCATTAGATCCAAAAAGACAATATTTACAGAATGGTAATCTAGAATAGAAACTCAATGGCAGATTATTTTCATACATTCTGGAACTGTCCGGCAATCCAATCATAATCATAATCACTGAAATAGAATCAATACTGGGTCTTGAGATTGATCATAGCTTTGGTACTATATATTTAGGAAACATACCAACTGATTTTAATGCTCAAGATAAGTACCTTCTCAGATTGTTATTGGTTGCTGGTAAGAAAGCAATAACCAAGAATTGGCTGGATGAGAATCCACCAACAAAAGAAGAGTGGATAGTGATTGTAAAGGATATGTTTGATATGGAGAAAATGACCTTTTCTCTAAGGCTAAATATGGATACATTTTATAAGAACTGGTCGAAATGGTTAATACGCAGGAAAATAGATAGTACATAAATAGATGTTAAAGGTCCCATGACATGCTGCTTTTTGGATGCTTTTATATAGGCCTAAGTGGTCCCTAGTACTGTATCTGAAGTCTCTTTCCCGAAATTCAGCCTTGGTGCAGAATTTCAGCCACTACGAGCCAGTCCCACAATGAGCTTTCCTTAGGACGACCTGTATGTTCAATTCTTTCTTTCTTTTGTCCCCCCCCCCCTTTTTATGTGTTTTTTAAATATTTCTGAGTTATGTTATAAGAAAAAAAGGAAGCAGGAAATTGAGGCAATTTTATTGAGTTTGTTGAGGCACAAGTCTTAGTTTATAATGAGAACTGGACCTTGAAATAAAGTGTGATCTAAGTTTGTGACCAGCTGAAAGAATTCTTGTAAAATCCCCACCACTTGACATCACTTGCCTTACTCTCAACAATTAACTTTAGTAAATGTTTGTTTACATTAGCACCGTTAGGTTTATGTTTTTTTGCCGAAGAGGAACAGAACATTCCACTAGAAATGTTTAGCTTATCTTAAAAGGTTGCTTTTATCTGAAGAGCGCACCATTACATCCATGCCACAACAGTTTCGCATTTGCTAATAACATAATTGATCTCTATAACATTCAAAATCCAAATCTATCTGCTTATTTGGATGAAATCACATGTTTGTTCTAACAGTGTTTCATACATGTGGACTTGCTTATATCTGCAGCGGACGTGTGCTTTTCCCCATCTCCAAATACACATGGACCAAAAAAGCCACAAACAAACAGCAGTAAATCTGACTCTGTATGAATACACAACACTAAATTCTAGCTGATGTCCATTAAATCTTGCCTACTGTTCCTGTCCTCCACTTCATGGATCCAGTCAAATGATCCAAAGCTAAAATCAACATATGTTGTGTCCTATACTCCTAAAAGCTTCCGTTCAAGGCTCTTCCTGAGAAACTGCACTGATTTAGCTTCTAAGGACCACAAAAATCTGGAACACAGTTGTAAACAAATGCCCTTTCTTTATCTGGGGCTCATTTGCAAGACTCCGCATAACCTAAATCTAACCTAAATAAACTAGAAGTTGTTTTACTGCAGAGTTGGTATTAAAAATAGTTCACTTAGAAATGAAAATTCCCTGAAAATGTACTCACCTTCAGGCCATCCAAGATGTAAATTAGTTTGTTTGTTCATCACAACAGATTCAGAGAAATTTAGCATTCCATCACGTACACACCAACGTATTGCAGTGAATGGGTGCCCTCAGAATGAGAGTTCAAACAGCTGATAAAAACATCACAATAATCCACACGTCTCCAAATTAACATCTTGTGAAGCGAAAGGCTGCATGTTTGTAATAAACAAATCCATCATTCAGACATTTTTATCTTCAAACCACTGCTTCTGGCTAAAAATGCGAGTAATATATATTCATAAAATTGCTCCAAATATGTTCCGGAGATGAAGAAACAAACTCAACTACAGTACATGTTGGATGGCCTCAGGGTGAGTACATTTTGGGTTAACCATTCCTCTAATTATTATGCATTTATGTTATTTATGTGTTTTTAGTTCATTGTGTTTCAGGCAATATGTGGTCACAAACATGGAACAACATCTACAACCTGATGATCCCTTTTCCTGACAAGCCCAATGTAGATGTGATGGACACCATGGTTGCTAAAGTAAGCGAACAGAACTATATCTTGATGAGTGAATAATATCCTCAGCACTCCAGAGACTGATAAAATGATTTGTACCCATAGGGTTATAATGCTACTCACATGTTCCGGGTGGCTGAGGAGTTCTTCACCTCTCTGGGTTTGCTCGAAATGCCTCCTGAGTTTTGGGACAAGGCCATGCTGGAGAAACCCACCGACGGAAGGGATGTGGTCTGCCATGCCTCTGCCTGGGACTTCTACAACCGCAAAGACTTCAGGTACATTAATCATATCTCAGTACAGTAGTTCGTATTTTTGTACAATGGCAACAGGTATCTGATGCTTGCGTATTCCCTGAGGTATTCCGTCATTCTTAATCAGTTTTTGCGTGTGTGTAAAGTTACTGTACTTGGTTACCAAAAAGACAACAGTGTCACTGGAAAGCCTGCTTAAGATTATAGTACCGTAATTGGGAGACATGGAATGTGTAAAGAAAAAAACAATGTATGTAAATATCTATTATTTCCAATCACGCTGTAATCTAACTGTGCATTTAGGTTGCATTAAATTCTAGTTACAAAATTAGCTTGAACGTTTTACAAAAAGGTTTTGTTTGTTGACTTTAGTTAGCTATAGTTTACATAAAATAACAATGAACAATATTAAAGGGATAGTTCACCCAAAAAATGAAATTTAGCCCATTATTTACTCACCCTCAAGCCATCCTAGGCATATATGACTTTCTTCTTTCAAATGAATCCAATCGGAGTTATACAAATTTTTTTACTTTGATCTTACAAGCTGTTTAATGGCAGTCAGCAGGTGTTGCAGTGCATCAGTCCAAAAGAAGTGAAATAAAGCGCATCCATCCATAATAAAAAGAGCCTCACACGGATCCGGGGGGTGAACAAAGGCCTCCTGTAGCGAATCGATGCATTTTTGTAAGAAAAATATCCATATTCATAACGTAATAATCACTTTAATCTAGCTTGCTATCCTAAATTAAATTATAAAATTTGTATCTATAAAATCTATATAATGCATTGGAACAGTAAACAACCAATTTCAGATGTAGCAAGGAGTATACAAGTAATTTAATGCATTATAACGTTGGTGACAATTGTTTATGAAAAGGTATAATGCAATAACTAATATTAAGTAATGAGACCTTATTGTAAAGTGTTATTATTTAGTATTATTTTTACCAATAATGTTAAAAATGGTATTAATTCCCACCATGATATTAGACACAGTACATAATTTGAGATATAGTGGAATTTTTTCTTTACATCTCGTGACTTTTACTTTTTTTCGTAATTCTGAGTTAACACTTTGCAATTTTGACCTATTTTCTCAGAATTATTAGTTCACCTCTCCCAATTCAGACTTTTTTATTCTTCTCAAAATTGCATGCTATAAACAGGCAATTGCAAGTTTACATCACAGAATTCTGACTTTGTAATATAATGCATTATGAATGCAATTTCGTGTATTATACATATAGGCTTCAAGTAAACTGTTACCACTTTTTCATGTTTTCTACATTGTAATTTTTTATCATATGTTCTCATTGTGTTTCAGGCAATATGTGGTCACAAACATGGAACAACATCTACAACCTGATGATCCCTTTTCCTGACAAGCCCAATGTAGATGTGATGGACACCATGGTTGCTAAAGTAAGCGAACAGAACTATATCTTGATGAGTGAATAATATCCTCAGCACTCCAGAGACTGATAAAATGATTTGTACCCATAGGGTTATAATGCTACTCACATGTTCCGGGTGGCTGAGGAGTTCTTCACCTCTCTGGGTTTGCTCGAAATGCCTCCTGAGTTTTGGGACAAGGCCATGCTGGAGAAACCCACCGACGGAAGGGATGTGGTCTGCCATGCCTCTGCCTGGGACTTCTACAACCGCAAAGACTTCAGGTACATTAATCATATCTCAGTACAGTAGTTCGTATTTTTGTACAATGGCAACAGGTATCTGATGCTTGCGTATTCCCTGAGGTATTCCGTCATTCTTAATCAGTTTTTGCGTGTGTGTAAAGTTACTGTACTTGGTTACCAAAAAGACAACAGTGTCACTGGAATGCCTGCTTAGTACCGTAGTACCGTAATTGGGAGACATGGAATGTGTAAAGAAAAAAACAATGTATGTAAATATCTATTATTTCCAATAATCTAACTGTCTAACTGTGCATTTAGGTTGCATTAAATTCTAGTTACAAAATTAGCTTGAACGTTTTACAAAAAGGTTTTGTTTGTTGACTTTAGTTAGCTATAGTTTACATGTCTTTGATCTTTCAAGCTGTTTAATGGCAGTCAGCAGGTGTTGCAGTGCATCAGTCCAAAAGAAGTGAAATAAAGCGCATCCATCCATAATAAAAAGAGCCTCACACGGATCCGGGGGGTGAACAAAGGCCTCCTGTAGCGAATCGATGCATTTTTGTAAGAAAAATATCCATATTCATAACGTAATAATCACTTTAATCTAGCTTGCGCCAACAGTTGTACACGGAAGCAGCTCCGGGCGGATGAAGTATGAGGTCAGCGTTGCGCATGCGCCGGTGAGTCTCGTGAAAACCAATGTTTGTTTACAGGAGCAAAGGAAGCAAAGTTTCCTTACTTTAGCAAAAGAAAACCAGTCTCCTCTTGGCTTATATCGAAATCCTCCGACATTCTTCTTTACAAATCCTCGTTACTTCTAATTCGTGACTGTCATTTTGTTTTGATCTCTCCGCTGCGCTTCCGCGTTCGTCACTTCTGAGCGGCCCATGCGCAACGCCGACGTCCTACGTCATCCACCCGGAACTGCTTCCATGTACAACAATGAACGCAAGCAAAATTAAATTGATTATTACGTTTTAAATATGGTTATTTTTCTTACAAAAACGATCGATTCACTACAGGAGGCCTTTGTTCACCCTTCATTTCACTTCTTTTGGACTGATGAACTGCAACACCCACTGAGTGGCATTAAACAGCTTGGAAGATCAAAGACAATTTTTTATATAACTCCGACTGGATTCGTCTGAAAGAAGAACGTCATATACACCTAGGATGCCTTGAGGGTGAGTAATTCATGGGCTAATTTTCATTTTTGGGTGAACTAACCCTTTAACAATACAGAATTTAAAACAACTGTATATCCGTTTTTTTACCTTCAAATGTAAGTTTAAAAACCATGTTGATGGTTCACCAACATCTCACACAGCGAACGGCTTCTGTTTCTTTCCCCAATGTCTCTTTTGGGAGTTTGTAAGTTTGGTGAGCGGGTACGAAATTCCACAAAAAGGACAGATTGCTTTACGGCAGCAACAAATGCACGGCTGTTTCTCACAATTGCAAATTATGAATTCGTCATTGTCAATTTGTAATTCTAACACTTTTTCTCAAAATTGCAGTTATAAATTAATTGCTCGAGTTTACATTTTGCAATTCTGACATTCTGAGTTTGAGTTTACATTTCATTATTTTATTTTTTTTACTTGTTTCATCTCATAATTCATGTTTTTTCATAATTGTGACTTTGTAACTTGTATTTAAGCATATAAACATGCAATTCTGAGATATATAGAATTCTATAAAAATATTACTGTGCGATTAAAAGCCACAATAATATTATTTATTTTTAAAAAAATGTATGCTGTGGCGGAAATAAGATTTCATACTGTCAGATTGGTCAGGATTATCAAATAAACTGAATCATTTGATTAATAGCACTACATTCTTAAGCTTTTCAAGTGAATCACCCTATGAATGCTTTCTTTCAAACTATTATAGAAATATAAGATGGGAATGGTAGGAAAAGGAAGATGTAATACAAAAAAAAATACACAAATTACCATCAAAGATATTCTTAAATAATATAGCAAAATGTGTGATCCCTGACAGAATCAAACAGTGTACCACTGTGACTATGGAGCAGCTTTTCACCGTGCATCACGAGATGGGCCATGTGGAATATTACCTCCAGTACAAAGAGCAGCCGGTCAGCTTCAGGAGAGGAGCCAATCCTGGCTTCCATGAGGCCGTAGGAGATGTGCTGTCTCTGTCTGTGTCCACACCCAAACATCTCCACACCATCGGTCTCCTGGACCAACTGACCGATGATGCTGGTAGGTGAAAGACATTCAGAATGATACTTATAGTGTAAACCTGAGACAAACTGATGACGTATTTGAAATTCCATAGAGAGTGACATCAACTACCTGTTGAAGATGGCTTTGGAAAAGATCGCATTCCTTCCTTTTGGATACCTTATTGATCAGTGGCGCTGGGGTGTGTTTAGTGGACGAACACCGCCTGAACGTTACAATGCAGAATGGTGGCACCTCAGGTACAGTAAAACTCAAACCAAAACAGGGTCTCATAATGGAACACTGAGGTCAGCAATCGATCATTTGTGCCATTATAGCATCCCTGTTCTGTACTTTATATATTTTTATATACTTGAAGTACACTACAAGCACACATTTAATTCAATTAAGCGCACTTCTTTTTCACAACTGTTTAATATTAAAGAGGTCACGATAGTTATGCTTATGTAACCTACCTTTTTATGAGGCATCAATTATTATTATATTTTTTGCTGCTTATTCTACAATCCCTACCATTCCAAAGTTTGGGGTCAGTCAAATGTTTATTTATGTATTTATTTAAAGAAATTAATACTTTTATTCAGAAAGGAAAAAAGTGACTGTAAAGACATTTATAGTGTTACAAAAGATATCTGTTTTAAACAAATGCTCTTCTATTGAACTTTATTACTTAATTATTCCTGGAATATATATACATGTACAGTATAGAGAGAGAGAGATTGTATTCCACAACAATATTAAACTGTGATAATAAATGTTTTTTGAGCTGTAAATGAGCATATTATAATGATTTATTACTCTATTTTTGATTAAATTAATATATAGCCTTGCTGACAATGAGACACTTCTTTTAAAACATAAAAAAAAAAATCTTACCAACCCCAAACCTTTGAATAGGAGTGTAAATACAAGTTAAATCTCCTTACATTTTGGTGTTTTTTTATGCTGTCAGTCAAGTAAGACAAGGTATTTGTATTTAAATGTGAACCAACAGTACTTTCTTGAATTGAATATGACTATTTTTCCTTTTATTAGGACAAAATACCAAGGCATCTGTCCACCAACCAGACGTACAGAGGAGCATTTTGATGCTGGAGCGAAATATCACATTCCTGGAAACACACCGTACATCAGGTGGGCTTATCATCATGAGCTGCCCGTACTCAATTATCAATCAATAATCAAACGTATGATGTACACAGAGAAGATAACTACTTTCTCTCATTTAACCTCTCGTAGATACTTTGTGAGCTTCATTCTGCAGTTCCAGTTCCATCAGAAATTATGTCAGGCTGCTGGACATACCGGACCTCTGCACAAATGCGATATCTACAGATCAAGAGAGGCTGGAGCTGTTTTAGAGTATGTATTGAGTTTAAAGTGCGACTGCCGGGGGTTTGAATGAAACCAAAAAATCTGTACATTGAGATTAAGTGCTACTTTATTCTGTTTGGAAGGAAAGTCTTGAAGGCTGGTTCTTCAAAGCCTTGGACAGAAGTGCTACAAGAGGCTCTGGGCACTGACAAAATGGACGCCAGCCCCCTGATGAGCTATTTTGAGCCAGTTACTACCTGGCTGCAGGAACAGAATGTGAAAACAGGAGAGACGCTGGGCTGGCCTGATTTTAATTGGGTGCCACCAGTACCAGAAGGCTACCCTGAAGACATCGGTAAGAATATGTGCAAACTATTTTTATTAGAACAGCCAGTTTAGCTAATTAGTTTAGTTAATTATATAAAGAAAATAATATAACACGTTACAAATAACACATTTCATCATGTCCCCTGACCTGCACATAAATACACCCGGTGGAAATGTTGTGTCTCTTAGCTGCAGAGTTGCCAAATCCATGTTTTTCAAGCTTGTGAAAAAGAAGTGTGCTTAATTGTACTGAATGTAGTGTACTTGAAACCTTTTTTAAAAAATGTACTTATAATGTGAAATTAATTAAAGGGATACTCCACCCCAAAATGAAAATTTTGTCATTAATCACTTACCCCCATGTCGTTCCAAACCCGTAAAAGCTTCGTTCGTCTTCGGAACACAATTTAAGATATTTTGGATGATAACCGGGAGGCTTGTGACCGTCCCATTACCTGCCAAGTAAATTACACTGTCAAGGTCCAGAAAAGTATGAAAGACATCGTCAGAATAGTCCATCTGCCATCAGTGGTTCAACCGTAACATTATGAAGCGACGAGAATACTTTTTTTACGTGAAGAAAACAAAAATCCCAACTTTATTCAACAATTTGTCTCTGTGTCTTTCCGTATCACCGTAGCACCATTTTGGAGAATATCTGCTGAATGCAAGCAGCGTACACTCTTCTGTGTCAGCCGCACTGCACAGATGCGCTGTTTTCATTCAATTCAAAGCGTAAATACACGTAGAAAACGTATCCTTGTGTCGCGGCTGACACAGAAGAGCGTACGCTGCTCGCATTCAGCGGATATTTTCCAAAATGGTGCTACGGTGATGCGGAGAGACTCAGAGACAAATTGTTGAATAAAGTCGTTATTTTTGTTTTCTTCACGTACAAAAAGTATTCTCGTCTTTTCATAACGTTACGGTTGAACCACTGATGGCAGATGGACTATTCTGACGATGTCTTTCATACTTTTCTGGACCTTGACAGTGTAATTTACTTGGCAGGTAATGGGACAGTCACAAGTCTCCCGGTTATCTTAAATTGTGTTCCAAAAATGAACGATGCTTTTACGGGTTTGGAACGACATTGGGGTAAGTGATTAATGACAAAATTTTCATTTTGGGGTGGACTATCCCTTTAAATAAAATGCCACTTGAAGGGATAGTTCACCCAAAAATGAAAATTTGATGTTTATCTGCTTACCCCCAGGGCATCCAAGATGTAGGTGACTTTGTTTCTTCAGTAGAACACAAACAGATTTTTAACTCCAGCCGTTGCAGCCTATCAGTCGTATAATGCATGGCAATGGTAACAAAATCTATGAGAGTAAAAAAAAACATGCACAGACAAATCCAAATTAAACCCTGCGGCTCGTGACGACACATTGATGTCCTAAGACACGAAATGATCGGTTTGTGCCAGAAACCGAACAGTATTTATATCATATTTTACCTCTAATACACCACTATGTCCAACTGTCTTTGAGCGCGCGCACGGCATCCGGTGTGTGAGGTGTGTACGCGCTCTGGTGTAGTTTACGCAAGCGCTGGAAGTGATCTCTCGTGCGTATACGTCACTCATTGTTTACACAGTGCACAGTCATTGTAGGTACGACGGCTAATCAAAATGGTACTTACTTGCGCTTATCTGGATTGTCCAAACCGACTTAAAACTAAAAGATTACGTTCTCTCGCATGAACTCATTCGGGAGTGGTGACTTTCCACGTATTCCCAGCTTCTGAGCCTGCTGGCCTGAAGTTATGGTTGATTGCTCTTCGGCTGGATATCAACACACCCATTAACATAAACTACGCCAGAGCGCGTACACACCTCACACACCGGATGCCGTGCGCGCGCCCTAAGATAGTTGGACATAGTGGTGCATTAGAGGTAAAAAATGATATAAATACTGTTTGGTTTCTGGCACAAACCGATCGTTTCGTGTCTTAGGACATCAATGTGTCGTCACGAGCCGCAGGGTTTAATTTGGATTTGTCTGTGCATGTTTTTTTTACTCTCATAGATTTTGTTACCATTGCCATGCATTATACGACTGATAGACTGTAACGGCTGGAGTTAAAAATCTCTGTTTGTGTTCTACTGAAGAAACAAAGTCATCTATATCTTGGATGCCCTGGGGGTAAGCAGATAAACATCAAATTTTCATTTTTGGGTGAACTATCCCTTTAAGTGTACTCAACGAATATTCACTTTCATGACTAAAGTTCTTAAAAAGTGCACTTTGTAATAGTGTAAAATTATAAGTATAATTTAATTAAAAGTAAATTTTAAGTCATTATGTTTTAATAATATTTGTAATATTATTATAATATCTAAACTATTATAAGTTTTAAATTAATTGAAATGAACATGCAATGAAGCATCCAAAAACATCACATTAGGTCTGCACTTAAGTATATTGTTTAAAATCAAATTATATCCTTAGCGTCACATAGCGGAATTACAAAAATAAAGCATATTTTCAAACAACCTTTGCAAACATGCACTTCTGTAACAAAATACTAATTTCGTTGAGGGTGATAAACCCATTATAACAGTACATTTACTATTTACTAAAACCCAATAAACTGGGTTAAGGGAACATACTTGCGCATGGTTTTTCCATAGGGAGGTTTTAATTTTTCTCTCTTTGATGTGAAAGTTAGACATGATTTTGTCTTTATCAGTCTCGATTTATTTTTTTCCGATTCCGTTTTTGATATTTTAAAATGCTGCTACCTTTTATATTAGGCCTACAATGCCTTCTCAGAAAATGAGCAAAACTCATTCTCATGTTTCTTGAATGCCTCAGGTAAAATAACAGATGAGATGCTGGCCAAGCAGTTCTTAGAGCAATACAACAGCACAGCGGAGGAGGTCTGGAATGCGTACACTGAGGCCTCCTGGACCTACAACACTGACATCACTGAAGCCAACAAGGAGATCATGGTGAGGCCCGGCCTGCTCTCTATTCTACAACACCACTCATTCTCAGAGTCTCATGCTGCTATTTTTGGCTTTAGCTGCAAAAAAACTTGGAGATGGCCAACCACACAAAGATCTATGGACTAGAGGCCCGTAAGTTCGACACCAGCGACTTCCAGGACGAGTCGGTGAAAAGAATCCTGACCAAACTTAGTGACCTTGAGAGAGCTGCACTTTCTGAAGATGATCTTATAGAGGTAAGACAAACAGACAGATGATAGACAGACAGACAGATAGACAGAGAGATATGGTGACTTACATTTTTGTCTGTAGTAACTTACAACAGGTTGCAGTTGTTTTTGTTAGAGCTGAACTTGGACTTTTTGAAAGACTACATTTTGACTTCTCATATATTTTTCATGTTCATAGTACAATAATTTGCTAGCATCCATGGAGACCCTGTACAGTGTAGCCACAGTCTGTAAGGATCAATCAACTTGTCTGCCTCTAGATCCAGGTGAGTTCACTTTTATTCATTTTTCTATACTGTTCAAGAATTTGGGTGAAGTTTTATTATTATTATTATTTAACAAGAATACATTAAATTGATCAAAAGTGACAATAAAGAATGTTACAAAGTAGATATATTTCAAATAAATTCTGTTCTTTTGAACTTTTTACTAACCAAAAATGTATCATAGTCTCCACAAAATATATATTAAGCAGCACATCTGCTTTCAACATTGATAATAATGGAAAATTGAGCAGCAAATTAGCATATTGACCTTTTTCATATTTCTGGGTTCTATAGTTATATGAGAAATATAGTTTTTGATCAAATAATGCAGCCTTGGTGATCAGAAGAGGCTTTCAAAATTTTGAACAATTTGAACACTTTTAGACAAGATTTTTTAAGATTTATGTTTTTTTTTTAAGTTTTAAAAGTTATGCACACACTGTGCAAAAACTCACTGTGGCCTTTTCTGTCTTTTGTTAGTTATGCTAACCACAAACTGTTTGTAGTGGAACAGTGAAAAATTAAAGTGCTTACAGAGTCTGTTTTTCATATCACAGCCTGCCAAATTGATTACTATAACCCCTTATGCTGTTTTTGATGTGTTTGTGTTTTGTTTTCCAGATCTGAATAAGATCATGGCCGAGTCCAGGGATTATGACGAGCTGCTGTTCGCCTGGCTGGGTTGGCGTAATGCCTCGGGCAGAGAGCTCCGCAGCAGCTACAAGAGATATGTGGAGCTTGCCAACTTGGCTGCAAAGAGCAATGGTAAGTGCCTGAAAATAAAGCACTTTTTGTAAGAGGATCTCTTGCAACACGGGGCAGCTGGAGAAAGACATTTAATACTTTCTGTGAATTAAATTTTCAGGCCACATTTTACAAACTTACTCCAAGTGGCAATAAACACTGACTCACATTAAGAATAGTTCCTGAGAGCTTTGAATGAAGCTCTAATGTTGATTGTATATCTAATATCAGGTCACACGGATAATGGGGCATTCTGGCGTTCTCTGTATGAGACCCCCACCTTTGAAGAGGATCTGGAAGCCTTGTGGAAAGATCTAGAACCGCTCTACCTCAACGTTCATGCCTATGTGCGCAGGGCACTGTACAAGAAATACGGACCAGAACGAATCAACCTTAAAGGACCAATTCCAGCTCATCTACTCGGTGAGAGATGAAATATATATAGTGTAATAAAATATATTTTTAAGATGCTTTGGTAAGTAAACCAAAACATGATATAGGCCTACGTGCAGGGCCATCCTTAGGGGGGTGCAAGTGGTGCACGGTGAACGGACCCACCCCCCCCAACGGACCAAGTGGGGACCCGCTCCCTACTTCACACTGGGCCCCGCGTCAGCTAAAACTGGCTCCCTTTTACTTCATGGGAATTGAAATTTGAATCATTTTTAAAATAAAAATCAACACAGAAAATCAATCAAAAGAGAAATTTTACTAGTAGCAGGTTTTATGCCAAACTGTGTGTTTTGTGAGAAAATCAGCACGATCTCACTGAAAACGTACTGTATCTATTTTACAAGGTGGCGTTTTCATGTTAATTAATCATAAATTAGGATTTTAGACAAAAAGCAAGCATGAAGGTCCACACCTAAACATAGCTATCACTGGGGAGTAAGCAATTTTCATATGAAAATGTACGAATAGGTCACCAATTTGCCAAAACGTGGCCACAGTACGGTATTTGACCTCCGTGAACAAACGATTGAGACTATTTTGCCGACGTTTTGCGTTGGGTGGGGGTAGCGCTGGGTGGGGAAGGTGGGAAATTTTATTGATTTATTTTTTTAATCATAAAGACATTTTAATCATTAAATTGCTGCTCTTTTGCATTAACAAGTGTAGTTAGTAATAATATTACATATTTATTTGTTGGAAATGCACATGTGAAGCACTGAGATGCAGATAAACTGAACTTTTAACAACAGTATTTACTTACTTTGTGTAATTCAGTCACAATGTGAAGAACCTTTTGATATTGCATGAGACTTTGTGAACTTCATACTTCAGTACAAAAAATGTATTTCTTGACGTTTCGATATTAACTGAATCTATGCAGTGGGTTGTGAGCAATATTAGATCTGCACTTTTAAATTTCCACTGGAAATAGTAAACCATCCGGGAACCTTTTGGATACACGTTACTCAAATAATACTATGATTTGGGACACACTAATTATAATTTTAAATACTATTTAGGATGGATAGTATGTGAATTGGGACACAGCAACTTTTTGGAGAATTTTTTTTTTTACCATAATAGAGTGGCTGTGTATACACACCTCGGACCCATAAAAAAATATGTAAAAGTGAACTTTGCATAATAGGTCCCCTGTAAACTGACAGCAGCCTTATAAACCTCATCACTCACTGCTTTTGACTTAATAACTTCTGTAGCTTTAATAAAAATATTTAATTCACACAATGAAGACAAGTATACAGCATTTTATTTTTACATTTGACTATTCTGCAATATTACAAACCTTGAGATATCATTTTAAATGTTTTTTGTTTATTTTATCTTGGCATTTTTTGTCTCGTCTCCTCTGAGACATGATATATTCATCCATCAAGCAGCTGATACCATTTTATTAATTAATTAATTTATTTATTTATTTATTGTTTCTGCACTTAAATACAATTTCTAATATATATATATATATATATACTGTATATATATATACAGGGCTCCAGACTCATTCTTCCCACTGGTCGCTCTTTTGCAACTAACTTTCTCAGTGGGACACAGGAGCACATGATTTGGTCGCAATTTATTTTTTTGCTACAACATGGTATTAATCAATGCATGCTGATGAACTTATCACAGTTTATAGTTGTATGGAAACGAAAGTGGTAAACATTCAACCTGTTCTTTTTCTTCAGTATTTGTGATTTGAATTTTGTGAACAGGGGTTCCTCTTTTGCTATGTTATAAGCCGGTCTTCGGATGCTTTCACTTTCGAATTTGCGACCTTGTCACGTTTTACAAGAAAAGATAGGCTAATTGTCTGATTTTCTTACATACATAATACATCTATAAAATAAAATAAAATAAAAGAGAGTTTCCTTACATAACGTGAGGCAAACAGCAAAGATAACAAGCTTTTCAAAATTAAAACAAAAACAAAAGTAAAACTAAACTTGCTGTCGGTGACAGTGCTTGCATGTTTTTTCCCCCACAAGAATACCAACATGTTCACCCTCTCTAGTTTAAGAGGCAGTGTTTTACTTTACTTTAGCTTGAAAGCCAGCCATCGTTTCCTCAATATTAGTGTCATTTTTGCTTTGCACTCCTGCTGACGTGGCGAGTATAAACCATGCTCTACTCTCTAAGCGTGGTTTCGTTATGCTTTCAGGTTCGTTTGTCGTTTGATGTTTCTCATATGCAACAGAAATGGCAGCGCTTATGAGTTGAACAATGCGGTGGTCACGCCAGTGCAACCGCGCACAAAATGTAGTCGCACAGGCAGAACAATTGGTCGCAAAATGCAAAATCGCAGTCTGGAGTCCTGCTAATATATATATATATATATATATATATATATATATAATTATATATATATATAATTATTATTTTTTTTATTCTATCAGCATGTACCCTTAGGGGCTTCATAGTCATATGACAGAATCTTTTACTGTGATCTTAGTGTAGAACACTAAATATGGTATTGTATGGATATGGATGTATCCATCTAATTTTAGAAGGCTTTATGAGTCTTCACCCATGCTAATAGTGGGGTACTGATGTACATGTGGGAAAACCCAGAGCTGAGCGAATTTAAGTTTCAAACTGGTGCTCTGATCTGCATTTTCTGTCAGTCTTTCTTTGTCTTTTACCGCCCTGTTTCTCAGTCTGACCGCCTGAACTTGGGTCTGAACTGGAAGCATCTCCATGTGGTGCTGGAGGGTGAAAATCAGGGTCTAATTTGATCTTTTTCAGTTCACTGCTCACGATCCTGCCATAATTCTCTCTTTCTCTTTTAACACCCTGATCCAGCTTAACTGGGCGAGATGGTCCAGGCTGTTCATCATCTATGATGCACCCTTTCATTGGTGATCCTCCAGGTCTGACCTCAATATTGTTGGAGTGAGACAGTCCTGGCTGCTCTTCATCATTTCTGGAGCCTTTCACAGGTGATTCTCCAGATGTGACCACAGTGTCATTGAGGTGAGACAGTCCAGACTGTTCTTCCTCTTTGCTGGACCCTTTCATAGGTGTCTCCCCACATGCTGCTGGTGGGGTACTAATATACAAGCAGAAAAACGCAGAGGTGAGGGAATCAATCAAAGAATCAGACTGGAGTTCCAATGTTCTCCTTTTCCGCTCTACACTCTCTGATCTGCCAGATTTCTCATCTCTTCTTTCAACACCCCGTCTCCTCTCAACTTGACTGACTGAGCTTAGGTCAGAACTGGATGTATCTCCAAGTAGTGCTCGTGAAGAAAAGCCTGAGCTGAGGGAATCCACTGAGTAATCAGAAGCAGAGCGATGGTCTGATCTAATCATTTTTCGTTCTCTGCTCTCTGATCTGCCAGAATTCCCTCTTTTTCTTTTAACACTGCATCTCATCTCAATCTGACAACCTGTGTTTCCATCAGAATTGGACATGTCTCCAAGCGATACTGGAGAAGAAAAGCCGGAGCTCAATCTGTTAGCCATCTGAGCAAATCTACTGGTAGTGGTAATCTACTGATTAACCGCAAACTGGTATTTCATCAGAGGAAGTCTGATATTCTGTCACTACTGCTGCTATGAGCAACTGACCAGGATGGTCTAAAGCTTCTGGAATGCTTGTGATGTCATAGGTGTGATCATTTGAACAATCCCCGCTTAAAAAACAGCAACACCTAAACAGCTGTGCATGTTCTAATGCTCTTCTGTGAAGGTGTGTGTGTATTAGAGCAGCGCGGTATAGACAAAATAATCACATTTCCATTCTTTTCACAGCTATTGTGATTTTATTTGCGATTTTGGTAACTGTTTTCTCTTGTTCACGTTACATTCAAAATTGTATTTCAGTGTACAAGACCACACGCTTGATAAGTAAAACTGTAATGTCATGTCTCTAGAACAGACGAGATACAGAAAAATACATTAAAATTGCAAGACAAAATAAACTAAATTAAAGGTTTGTAGTATTGCTGAATAATTAAATGTAAAAATAAAATGGTGCATAGTCATCACTGTATGCATTAAATCTACAGTCATTTTTATTAAAGCTACTGAAGTTATTAAGTCAAAAGCAGTGAATGATTCTCTCCTTTTCTTTGCTTGTTTGATGAACATTAGGCACACAGACAGCAGCAGCAGGTTTATTAGGCTGCTGTCAAGACCTAATCAAAGATCCTTGGGATTTCCTTCCAACTGTTTACATTCATTCAAGACATAAACAAATGTTTTACTTGAATACTCTCTCTGACGGGCATGTTTGACATCATTCTGCATGTATTTGACCGTTTTAGTGAAAGAAGCTCAATTCAGCACACTGACATGACAGATGACAGACGTTTAATAACTCTTTTTAGCATGAAGCATGTCTCTCTTTTGATTTTCTCCTTCATGCTAATTTCTTTATCAATCTAATGTAAATTGCTTTGAGCAGTCCTGTGCTGGGCAGATATAATGTCATATAGCAAACCATGACAACAGCCTCAAGCCTTTAACTTTCAACCCTAAAAATGATTTTTCTTAAAATATTTATTATTGTTGGACCTCAAGCAGTTTTTGTCAAAACTGATGTTTTTATCTAAACGATATAAAACTCTACCGTAAGGTTGAGATGTCTGTTAAATCTTGCTTTACATGTGCTGTAGTGTTTCATGGGCTTTTTTGAATAATAACAGTCATTCAGCAATGAAATACATTTCACACATCAGGGCCATTTTTACAACAGGAATATTACAAGCTTTGTGAAATATCTTAGCCAATTTATCATTCAATGTCTTGTCTGACAACAGCTCATCATCATGTGAATCATACAAAAATGTACAATATTTAGAAAAATATTTAACATGAAGGTCCACCCCTTAACATAACGTCACATAAGAAGATGATTTTGACTAATTATGCCTATTTATTCCTAATTAATATTCCTATCAATATGTCTAACGAATTACCAGTATATTTTTGGCACCATTGTGTGTAGCAGCGTACTACTAAGTGTACTACCTAATAGTAGTGTACTACTACTAAGAATAGAATAGAACAGAATAGTTGAGTGGAGTGGTGTTACAGGGGGAAAAAATCATATCGTTTTTGACGTTGACTTTGTAAATGATGATTTTTTTTTTTTTTGGTGAGCTCTTATTTTCAGCCAAATCTGAATTCTGCATCCTTTGCCACCTCAATGCAAATATAACAAATTATTTGATTTGAACATTTTCAAATCTTTTTCTAACCATGCATCCCTACATAATTCTTTAAACCCAAAGTTTCTCAGTTTCTTCACAGAAGTGGTTAAACATGATCAACTAGGCAAAATCTACATAATTTCTGCAAAAAAAAAACACTGTGTGAAATGTATGAAATGTTTTTCAATGCTGAATTTACTGAAATTAGCTAAATTTATCAAAGATTAAAATCATTGAAAATGGCATGGATATTATGATTTTTTTCTGCTAAAAAAAACCCACCGTCCACATCTTTTTCTTTTTTCTTGAGGGTTTACATTGATATTCTGTAGTTGTCTGCGGCAACTCCAAAGCAATCGACAGGATTTAATGTGCTTTCAAAATCATCAAGCGTGACTGTGTGTGTGTACATATCACTGGCTACATTTGCACGTGTGGGAAACTGTGTGTACTTGTGTTTGTGTGTACGCAATGGTTCCACATGGCTGGAGATTAAATGGCTTGGAATTCCAAGCCCAGTGGTTTCCTCCAGTGCCATTGGTCAGAGATACTACACCATCTCTCACATCCTGCCTTTCAGTTGGCTGATGTTCTTCTCTGCTTGGTTTTTCTCAGGAAATATGTGGGCCCAAACGTGGTCTGCCATCATGGACCTTGTCATTCCGTACCCTGATGCCACACAAGTGGATGCCACGCCAGCCATGATTGCTCAAGTAAGATTACAACTAAAAACACATTCTTTAATCTTTTTCTATTCCGACAGTCTGATTTCTTGGAAAAAGCCCAGTTTTCTGAAAGCAGTGGCTGTTTACATTAAGTGTCAAATAAGGTAGATGCTGTTTACACTGAGTGTAAATAGTGGTAGATACTGTTTGCACCAAGCCTAAATAGCAACACATAGCATCTTGTTTGCATGGAGTGCAAACAGGTATGATAGACACGTTTTATGCTTCCGTGTGCATTCAAAATCTCATTGGATTATTGAAATACAAACATTGCAAACAAATGTTTGTTGTAAATGATATATTGTTTGGTGAAGGCTTTGTGCAATGGCATATGAAGGCCATAAATGGCACTCATACATACCTGTAAATGTCTGTATGGTGTCCTCTGATTGTGCAGTGCTCTTTGGTTCTTCAGGGTTGGGACCCCAAGCGGATGTTCCAGGAATCGGACCGGTTCTTCACTTCTATAGGTCTTCTGCCCATGCCTCCTGAGTTCTGGAACAAGTCCATGCTGGAAAAGCCAAAAGATGGACGTGAAGTGGTCTGCCATGCTTCTGCTTGGGACTTCTACAACCGCAAAGACTTCAGGTACAAGCCTGATATCACAGTAAGATGGTCCATACTAGGGCAGAAGAGGTTTGATATATTAGTTTAATAATGGAGGATGTGATACCTTTTGTAAAAAAAAAAAAATTATGTGAAATTTGTCCAGGTAGCAGAATTGTTTAATATAGATATAAACATGGATATTGAATGTGCATTTGTAGTGTACTTCAAATGATAAAAGTATATATTTTTTAAAACTGTACTTGCAGATTATATCAATGAAATTAAAGGTCACTGAAAGAAAGTTCACATTCTTTTAAAAAGTGTTCTTAGCAATGTCATACTTAAAATTTGACTTTTTACACTGGTTTAAAGGGTTAGTTCACCCAAAAATTAAAATAAGCTCATGTTTTACTTACCCTCGATTACTCGACCCTCCATATTTTTTACATATAAAGCTTTTCTGTACAGTAGAGGGTTTGGTTTTGTCTTAATTCAGTCACTATGCTTCCTATAGGCAGTACAAAACAAGGCAGCTCGCTAGTTTTGGACTGAGCCTATTTCTCATGAACTGTCTAATATGTCTCCCTGGCCAAACAAATCCTAATTTCAACCACTACTGTTGTTCATTTGATAAAGGGAGGATGCTAGAGCTGTAAAGACATCTGAAACAACAACTTTCTAGCCTTTTCCTTTCCATGTGTTATCTTGTGAACCTAACTTTTCCCATCCTGTTACCATCTCAAGGATCAAGCAGTGCACGGTGGTGACCATGGACGACCTCATCACCGTGCACCACGAGATGGGCCACGTTCAGTACTTCCTGCAGTATAAGGATCAACCCATCTCTTTCCGCGATGGCGCCAACCCTGGATTCCACGAGGCCATCGGTGACGTACTGGCCCTGTCCGTTTCCACACCTAAACATCTCCAGAGCATTGGCCTGCTGGACAAGGTGGAGGACAATAAAGGTACAGCTCATACATCTACAAAAAAAAAAGCTTGCAACAAAACACATAAAATGCTAGTTCAAACCCTAAGTGTCTTACTGGTCTGTAGAAAGCACCATCAACTTCCTGATGAGCATGGCCTTGGATAAGATTGCCTTCCTGCCTTTTGGTTACCTAATGGACCAGTGGAGGTGGAAGGTGTTTGATGGAAGGATCTCAAGCTCAGAGTACAACAAAGAGTGGTGGAACCTGAGGTGACCGTTTTTCCGTTAATCCATAACTAACGTTACTGTTAATAGGGCACTATGATTTAGGTAATGAGGAAAACGTGGACTGACAAAATGCGGATAAATAAATAAAAAGTAGGGCTGTATACTTAATCAAAACGCAATATGGACTACTGTCTGTAAATATTAAAGCGCAAAAGACCACTATTTAAATATGAAGTCAGCGCCGCAGTTTCGTCTAACATTACTTTTTTACATATTGAATGACGCTTGTTTTCTCAGCCTCTACTGTCTCACAATATGAGGACATCAAGAAATGAACTTCATCTCCAGACCTTCTCTGAGAGTCACTTCTAGTGGTCGTAAAGTGGTTATTTTGATAGCAGTCTATCACCACCCCGCGTTTGAAGCACTGCTTCGAGAAGCTTCGAAACATATCAAACTGCCAATGTCACGTGATTTCAGTAAACGATGCTTCGTTACGTCATAACTGTTTCAAAAGTTTCAGAATTTTAATGGTTCGTATTTCTCATATTTAATTTATTGCTATTTAATGATTGTGCCTCACACGTCCTGAAAAGTGAAGCTGCGGTCTCTTTGATCACCCCCTGGTGGCTGGCTGCAGTACAGGTCATAAACCCCGCCCTCTCCATGCAAACGAATGGGAAAAATTCACTTCCAATACAGTTTTCCGAAAGATGGTTTTGGTCATTTAAGGTATCACGCTGATATATGTTCAATTGTTCGTTTTTGTGATAAGTTTGATTTTAGCTAGTCATTTTATGCTATAAAAATGGGGTGTGTCGTTATGGTTGATTGGGTCTGCGGGAGTTTGATACCGCGGCTCTACCTCACGACACTACTGCGCAGACTCTGGCTCCAAACGAATCTCTACTGCGCAGACTCTGGCTCCAAATTACATAATTTACTCAAGATGGCAGCGGCCATACTGAGATGCTTTGGCTTCACTTTTCTATAGTGGAAGGAATAGGAGACGCGTCGTCCATCTTTTTTTACAGTCTATGTTCGAAACAGTGAATCATGTTGATGCTTCGAAAAGGTTAGTTTCTGCAATCGTTATCGTCAACGGTCTTCAACCCTTGAAAATAAAAGTTCGGATTAGCTTGAAGAAATTATAACATATATTACTATTGTACAGTAAAATGTACCTCTCAAAATAATAATAATAACAACAACAATAATACAGTTCATAAAAATAATATTAGCCTACAATAATTTCCATCCATGTTTTCAAAAAATACATTTATATAGAAAATATATAAATAGAGCATGTCATTTTAAAAATAAAGTTGTTTAAACTTTTCAAATATTTAATGACAGCTCAGAGGCAATGCAGATGTAACAAACGTGAGTGTCAAAATAAAGGTGCATCTTAAAAGATACTGTAGCCTATATATGTTTTTTTAGCGTGTTACATCGATACATCATATTGTTTGTCATTTAACTGATGCATTGATCCATATCGAGGTATTGTTACACCCCTAGTTGATACTGTTGTTTGCTAATCAGTTACATTAACATCAAAGCTATGCAATATGTAAAGTTGTACCAGAGCTGAATTTGCGTATATTATACAAACAGAATGAAGTACCAGGGATTGTGTCCACCTGTACCTTGTCTCAGATGGAGCTTAAGTAAAGGAACACATTCTATTCTTACCATGCAGTCAATACTTTTTGACAAAAACCACCTCTTTTTGAAAGTATATTTATTATTTTTGGTCAAATTTGTTTGACTATGCAATGAAAGGTAACTTGTAATTTATTTGTAAAATTTCAATGTTTGACTGCTGTCTTCAATTATTTGTATAGTCTTAGCTGTATGCATTTCTGATTGATTTTACTGGTAAACCTTTATAGAACATAAAGAATTATACAGACATTCTTGCTTTGTGTATTGTCTGAGTGCAGGAACATTTAATAAAAATGAGCCTTCAATTAAAAAAAACATTTTTAATCTTAAAAAAAAAGAAAAGACCTTACAGACCATCATGTTATTTTTTCTGTGTGGACATATTTTCTCAACTCTATACCCAGGTCTGAGGTATACAAGCATTTGCTCAGAACGCAATGAACTCTAGTGTTTCAGTATCCAACTCCCCTCTAATAACTAAACGAGTCAACCAATGTGGGCTTCTTTCTGACAATCCACTCCAATCCACCACTTGATTATATTAAACTTCACTAAAATATAACACTTCAAGCAATTAACCATGTGATCATTTTCAGTATTCCCATCACTGAACGTGGACTGATCTGAGCTGAACTGAATTGAAATCTGCAACAATCCTTGTGGCTTGGCAGTACATGTACATCTTTTTAATAGAAAATCTAGCATTTGTTCAAGCATAAAAGCAACATTCTTCACTAGTTTCTAGTAGCTGCTGTTCTGCAAAAAAGGGTCAACACAATACTATTTGAGTAGACAGTAAAACAAAAAAAAGAAAAGAAAATCTGAAATAGACAAGAACAGAGTGACTTGCGTCAAATTACACCACAAAATCATAAAAAAAAAAAAAATCAACATTGAGTCAAACAATAAGTGAAGTTTGGGTCAAGACTATATATTGACCAAATCAGCTTTGATTTTTGCTCATACAATACAAATGTTTTTTTCCCCGTATTGCAGTAATATATATATATATATATATATATATATAGAGAGAGAGAGAGAGAGAGAGAGAGAGAGAGAGAGAGATTCACCCAACTAATGCTGACAGGAACATGATGGTTTGGGCAAACATTTTACACACTTAAACACTGTAGTCTTCCTCCATGGGAGGAAGTAGCTGGAAAAAAAATTGGAGCAGTTCTTATGCAGTGTTGCAAAATAAGTGTCCAAAGACAAAGCAATTGGAACTTGAAAATCGAGTCTATTTCCTCAGTGCTGTTTGATCAGAACTGGTTTCAAATCAGTTACAGCATGATGGAAAAGATCTTCTTATCTCAATGAGTAAAATGACCCAAGGCTCTGGAAAGGGGAACTAGTATAGTGACATTAAAAAAAAAAATATTACAATGGAATGAAATTTAAATTGCAATGAAACACACAAAGCAAGATTTAAAGATTTCAAACTAGGAAAATAAATCAGTTGCTCATTACTAAGTCAAGGACGTCCCAGACAATACTCTGGCTTCGTTGAAAGCGGTTTAATGGTCTACAAATCACGATATTGCACACAGACCAACAAACATTTCGAAACGTTCTCACTGCGTGATTGGCGGCTCCAAACGCCAGTGTCTGCTGAGTTGAGACAGGGTTAATAAAAGACATCCTCCAATCATCACGCTCCCCAGGCTCTGGACGGAGAGAGGTGAAGAGGTCAGTAGTAATATTCATGCATTTCTGTCCAGTTGGTGACCCAGGGTTTCTTGCTCAGTTCTTGCTCGGGCTGAAAGGCCAAGTTATAGCGTTCCTCTTTGCGTACTTTCACTCCATGGTACTTTGGCATTATCCTGTAGTAAACGGTCCTTTTGAAGAAACCGCACTGCTCGAGACAGACAGAGAATCAAAGAAACGTTTCAGGTAAGACTGACGGATATGCTTTGCAATGAAAATTTTAAAGTAAATACAAGTAATTCGATTTTAAATGTTAGCATTTATTCACCCTCAAGACAAGCCTGTATTATTTCTTCTTTTGCTCCATAAAAGCATCGTAAAAGAAGCTCATATGACTTGTGCTCTATATATTTCAAGTCTTCTGAAGTCATTTGATCAATTTTACAGCTAGATTTTCTCATGTTGTTTTTTCAAACGTGCTGCGTTGTGATTGGTCATGTGATGAATGAGAAAGCTGTTTACTAGCAAATTTTGTGATTCTTTTATAATGCTTTTTGTCATTTTTGGAGCTTTGCAGTATCAATCTAAAAATCCACTTTTCTTGAAAAACAGCAGCATGGAAATTGTGCATCTTTTTTTGTGTTTGACAGAAGAAAATACATAATATGACAAAAGGGTAAGTAAATGATAACAGAAATGAAAATCTGCTCAAAATGTACTCGCCCTCAGGCCATCCAAGATGTAGATGAGTTTGTTTCCTCATGGGAACAGATCCGGAGAGATTTAGCATTACAACACTTGCTCACAGTGAATGGGTGCCGTCAGAATGAAACAAATCACGTTTTAACATTAAACTGTTGTTTATAATGTATAATAATGCTTCCTCCAGTGAAAAAGTCCATCCCCTGTTGTCCTCTCACATTAAAATCCACTAACATATTTGTTCTGGCTTTTAAACATTGCTTGATCTGTGCATATTTCTCTCCTGATTCAGAGAAATTGCTTTTTCACTGGATAAAGCAATATCATGGATAGAGGATTCATGTTTTAGCCAGTTTGAAGTGGATGGATTTGTTTATTACAAACACGCAGCTTTTCACTAAACGTTAATTGATGGACTCAATTCATGTGGATTATTGTGATGCTTTTATCAGCTGTTTATACACTCATTCTGACGGCACCCATTCACTGCAGAGGATCCACTGGTGAGCAAGTGATGTAATGCTAAATTTCTACAAACCTGATAAAGAAACAAACTCACCTACATCTTGGATGGCCTGAGGGCGAGTAAATGTCCGGCACATTTTAATTTTTTGGTGAACTATTCCTTAAAGCACTGTATAAATGCATAGACATTATTAAAGAATGGGGGAAAAAAACTGAATCTTCATGCTTCAATTAGGATTAATTGAAATTAGTGTACACAAATTTTTTTTAAAAAAATATTTAATTAGTGGAAAAAGTGCATTGAGATTCTCATTTGAGCTCTACGTCTCTGGGAATATTAAGGGTTATTGAGCAAGACAGAGAGAATGAGAAATGAAAAGATTGTTATTTGACTCTGGCAGGGAAGGAATTACGGAGGTAAGCCAGAAAAAAGATTTGTGAAGTGAAAAGTCAGAAAAAGCGTATGGTAACTAGAGATCTCCAGGGTCTGCTTTACCGAAGGGCCCTAACAGTGCTGCCATAGCGTAGGCTCAGTATTCCTCCGTCAGCCTCTCTGTCTCAGAGGGCTGGATCTTTATTTCTGCTTTCTGGGATTTGGCCTCATACATCTCCCTCCTGCTGGCTCGTCGGAAGAAACCGCACTGTGGAGGAGGGGCGGAGCCCAAGGCGGGACATTTATTACTGATTTAAATAACAAGAGGCAGTGACATTTCACATCAAGGGTGCACTGGGTCAAATTGAATTTCATGGACTGCAAGCATGTGGTTTAAATCTGTCCTTTCATTTGCGTTTATTAACCATCCCTGGTTAAGTTATAGTTTATAAATAAATGTTTTAGGAAAAGTGCCTAAAAGTGGGTGGTGTGACCAAAATCCAATTTCACGCTATGAGTAATTTTATGTAATGGTACTATTCAAAAGTTTGGGGTTAGAATTATTATTTTTTATTCAGCAAGGACACGTTCAAATCAAAAGTGACAAAAGATTTCCGTTTTTTTTTTTTAAATGCTGTTCTTTTGAACATTGTTCATCAAATAATCCTGAAATAATTTTTTGGAGCAACAAATCAGCATATTAAGAATTATTTCTGAATGATCACGTCACACTGAAGTCGCTGATAATTCAGCTTTGCATCACAGGAATAAACTTAAATAACTTCATCTTTTCATTATTTTCTCTTTTGTTTGGAAACTAATGGATGCAAACCACAACATAAAATTATTTATAACAAACAAATCTGGCATCAGTGAAAAAACAAAAACAAAGATTAACCCAACATTATGCAACTCTTGACTTAAAAACAAAATAAAACCAATATTATAAAATGTTGAACGTAAAACATTGCTGATGTATACACATGTGACCCCACATCAGTTGAATTTGATGGTAAACTTTAATATAATAAATAATTGGGACACGTCCTGATCTGTAGCTGCACATACATGTGTACTACCATATGCTGGTCTAGCAGCATTTCTCAGGTGACACATTTCTACTATCGTAACACTTCCCAGTCCAATTGTGACCTGGATTTCAGATCATTCTAAATGATTGGCAAACGTGTTTGAATTTTGATCTTGATGGGATGTTGACCAAATATAAAAGCGCAAATACCTTCCACAGAATGAGACTGATGATGCCTAATAACAGTATCCCTGCAACCGCTGCAGCAATGATGATCCAGAGAGGAACTTCATACGGCGTCTCCTCTCCCAGCACTGGATCAATGTTTACTGAAAACTACAGACAATTCAATTAGATCAAACACCATCGGATCCTTCATGTCAAAATTAATAAGCATGACCTATATTTTGCACTGCATTTTACAGTTATGAAAATGGTTTCAGAAGTCAAGTTATTTTTATACGCTTACACAGCTCCCAGTAATAAACAAGAAAATAACCATTAATGTTGCAAAATTCAACAGTTATTAAACTGTAAAACAGCTCTATCGAAGACAGCGTTCATTATTCAGCTGAATTTAATCCAGTGTTGATTCAGTTCAGTAACATTATTGATGCTAAACGCAAAGTTTATCGATAATCAAACAAATTTGTTTCACAGCAGCTCTGCAGAAGACAATAGTGTCATTGTTCAGCTTAACTTGGTTCAGTATTGATTCAGTTCAGTAACAGTGATGTTGCAGAGTTTACCAATTATGAAACAAATTTGATTTACAGCAGCTCTACACCAAGCGGCAACCTCCCGGTCGAAACCAACACGGAAGTGACTGAAACTGCAATTCATCGACTGGCCACTAGAGGCTGGCTCCAAAAGGGAGCCACCCTTTTTTCCCTTCATGACAACAGTGAGGGGGGTGAATTTTTTTATAACTCATACGTTTAAATTATATTAAGCCTTTAAGTTCTGCATAATTAAGGGCGTGGCCACTTGAGTGACGGGTGGATTGCCACTGCTGACACTGCCGTCGAGCTAGGTGGGCGTGGTTTCAGCAACCTGCTCCCGCCTCTTTGCCCATTTTCGATTATCCGGGAGTGACGCGCGGTGATGCGCTGCCAAGATGGCGACGCCCACTTTGAGCTTCAAAAACACTCTTCAGAAACCTACGGGTGACGTCACGGACACTACGTCCATGTTTTTATACAGTCTATGCTCTACACAGGACAAAAGTGTTATTGTTCAGCTCAGCTTCAGCTAGAACACTCCTGAACAGAGATAATTCAATAACTGTGACAATATTGCAAAGTTCATCAATTATGAAACACCTTCAAATTCAGCTGTGAAGCAGCTCAATAGAAGCCAATAGTATCATTAGTTTTGTTCTTTTTCGATAGTGTCAGTGCAGTCAAAACGATAAGATTTCTAAATATTAATTGTCTTTTAAACCCCAGTTCATATGACTTGTGCACTAAATTCCAAAAGATATTTCAGAAGACTTACAATACTACTTTCAAAGTAGCTTTAGAAAAGAACAGTACAAAGACTACCTTCATTATGTTTTACAGTGCATCTTTGGAGTTTGTGTCTGTGGAGAGATTATGAGCTATGAAGTAAATAAATCATTACTAGGTGAACTTTAATGCGAACAGCTCTGACCTCTCTGATCTGGTTGTCCATTTTGATGGCCGGTTTATCCGTCAGCAGTCTCAGCGTGGCCTGGCCCTTCACTTCCACTCGCAGGGCATTGGCGTAATCCTGCCAGAAAACCACAGAGATCAATTGAGTCACTCATTGAGCACCATTTAGTGAGTACTTCACAAACAGCTACTAATACAAACCTCCAGCAAGGTGCTGTTCCACATGCGAGACCTAACTCTGATCTCCGCCCGAGTCAACATGTTATGCAGCGGGCAGGAGAAGGTCATGCAGCGAGCCGTCAGCTTTGAACACTCCTGAACAGGGACAAAAGCCACGTTTTTTGACATTTGTCATTGATATGACGAAAAAACTGGTGGGACAGTATGAAAATGAGTGTAGACGCCTCACTCACCAGCAAATGGGACACTTTACGAGGTGCCTGGACGGTGACAGAAGCTTCTGCATAGGGATATCCTGACTCCAACTCTCTTTTGGACCGTTTGGTAGCTCGATCTGACAGCTGCAAGAGATGATGTAGGACGACAATTGAATGGAGTGAATGAAATTGGAAATGAGTTATGGTGGGTTGCTGTATTTCCTCAGACTCACTGTGAGGTTGAGAGGGTTGACAACCTTCCCCGGTGGGACACAACGCGACTCTGACGCTCCTTTGATCACTATCTCTGTGAGATACAGCAGCCATTTCCCATTGGTTACCTCAAATGGCCATTCAAAGTCAATCATCAGAGTTCCCAAATCTCTCAGAGGTTCTCCCAGCACGTGTACCTGGAAAGTGGAAACAAAGACCATTTTTAGTGTTTTAAAGGCACAATATGTAAGTTTTCACCACTAGAGGTCACATTTTCAAAACAATAACAAAGCTTGATGACGCTATGAAGGAGGATGTTCACGGATGATCATTTAGTTATTGAGGTGAGGATGATTTTTATTACCTGTACCTTCCACGCTTATTTAAACAGCAATAAATCATACAGAGAAAGCAAGCAAAGAACATTTACATTGTCAAAGAACATTATGACTGACTTTGGTCTAGCACGAGTTTAAGCACTCTCAAAAAAACTCCCCTTATAATCAGTAAAGTTGTCTATACACGGTTTTATGAATGAATCATACGTACATGCGCACTTTGTTGTTTATGATGAGAGATTTCACGTGAGAGCTGAATTCAGTCAGCGAGCCGTGCAGTGAACAAAAAACTCATCTGAACGCCTCTGATTGGCCATTGCCTTCATAAGCTCAACGGACTCGTGTGTGATTGGTTATAATGCGCAACACTGTAAAAACGTGTTAAAAAAATCATGGCACAAACATTGAGCAGATCTAAATTTAATGCTGCGGTCAACACTTTTCATTTTCACTTTATTCGCGACAGCTGTAATGGATTTAGTTTAACTGTACAGCAGTATTTATATCTGTGTGTTGCCATAGTTTCTACAAGCGGAAACTGAGGATATGCAGATATTACGTCATTGATAGGCGACAATGACCAGGGACGATTTAAAATGGGAATTTCTATGGATTTACAAATCCTTGGGAACTTTTGGGATAACGTAAGTACACAACTGCATGAAATATATCACACTGTGCAAGTAGTTTTTGGATATTTCATTACGAAAATCTTACATATTGTGCCTTTAACACTTTGAACTGTTTAAAAGGAGCTTAAAAGCGTTAGTCCACCCAAAACTGAAAATTCTGACATCATTTATTCACCCTCATGTCATTCCAAACCTGTATAACTTTTGTCTGTGGGACACACAAAAAAAAGATATTTTGAAGAATGTGGGTGAATAACAGTTTCGGTGACCACTGACTTCCAATGTATGAACAAAAAACAATGTATGGAAATTCTTCAAAATATCTTCTTTTCTGTTGCTCAGAAAAAAACAAAGTCATACAGATTTAGAATGTCATGAGTAAATGTGAATAAATGATGACCAAATTCATTTTGAGTGAACTATCCCTTTAAAAGTGGACTCAAATCTCAATTGTTTAGTTGTGGTCTCCATCTACTTTTCATTCCCACTGTTGTTTTCAGGAATCTGTACCAATTAAATATTGAACTTACTAATATTATAGCAGAATAAAATTATACATTATTATATAATAATCACATATTTTTGCCCTAATTTCTTAACTAACTCGGCAATGATTTAACCCTTGAGCTTTTTATTATCATCATTGACTTTTTAAGTACTGGCCAAAATCATTTACAACTCCACTACCATTCAAAATTGGAGGCAGTTTTCTTTTTTTAAAAGAAATGAATACTGATCAAAAGCGACAGTAAAGACATTTCTAATTTCTAATTTTATATTAGTGCTGTTCTTTTGAACTTTTCATTCATCATTCATTTCATCAAAAAATCCTGAGAAAGTGTTTCAGTTTCCATAAAAATATTAAGCAGCACAACGGTTTTAAACATTGATAATCACTGACAAAAGACTGGAGTAGTGACAGCTTTGAATTTTTATCACAGGAATTTGCTATTATACAAAATTGTGTCCTCATAAACCACATAAACATGCGCTCACACACACACACACACATATATATATATATATAGTTCAGTTCTTCTTGTAAAAAACTTGTAAAATAAAATCATTTACTGTATTTTTGATAAAACAAATACAGGCTTGGTGTGCATAAGAGAAAACAAATGTGGTTTGGATCAGATTTGAAGAAATATTTTGCTGTTCAAACTACAACCAGCTAAACTGATTTGAGCCAGATAACCCAAAATAAAAAAAATAAAAAACATTTTTGGTGTCTGTCTGAAGAAAGCTAAAGCCACACTCACACGAAACACGAACTCCAGCGGACTCCCCACATCACTGGTGCTGTTCATAGCAGATTCACCAATCACACTGCCACTGAACGACGTGTCAATCACTGATTTTTCTCTGCACACGACAGAAAGAGAATGATAAACTATTAACTATGAATTGTCATTAATAACAGAGTATTAATAATATGTTTGATGCAATTAAGTGAATTTTTCTGTCTAACATGCACAGATGAATCATTTTTTTCTTGTAAATTTCCACATTTTTTTGTAATTTGAAAAACATATCAAAGTACGTACAAGGAAAAGGTAGTGAGGACTGTGTTCTTCACGTTGAGGGTGACAGGAACAGGATACAGATTCTTCTGCTCACTGATACTAATGACAAACACAAACACCATTCAGTCAGTCACAATAAAAGAAAAGGCCTGCAGAAATGACTTCAGGAAACACATTAGTTCAACACTGTGCACTGAGGGGAAACGTACACTGTATAAACAAGAAAGCATTTTAGTTAGTCCAGACTTACGTGGAGAGCTGAAGCTGAGATTCAATCTGCTCGGTGTAAAGCGTTATACCAGAAGTCTCAAAGATGATTATGAATGAGGCCTGTGGAGACGGAAATCAAGGGTGAGAGCAAATTAGCAAAACATATCAGCTGTACACTCTGATTAGCTGAGTTTATTCAGATGGCTCGTGGAAAATGAGCCATTGGAGATGCTTGTTTTAATTAACATACAAATCCGCAGAAAGGTCAGACATTGGACAAGTTTTCAGTAAGAAAACAGACTGCTACCTTCTGATTGCTTTTAAATGGGTTTCCCAGATCGCAAATCACAGTCTCGTTTGCGCTGCACTCAATATCGAAACCAGGCTGTAATAAAGACAAACCAAGAAAGTTAAAAACGGCATTAAGAACACTGAAATGATCTAATTAAGGGGACTCTCCATAGGCGTAATGGTTTTTATACTGTACAGACCATATTTTCTATTGCCCTACACCAACCCTACCCCTAAACCTACCCCTTACAGGAAACTTTCTGCATTTTTAGATTTTCAAAAAAACTCATTCTGAATTATTTATAAGCCTTTTGAATTACGGGGACACTGAAAATGTCCTCATAAATCGCCTTCTCGTTGTAATACCTATGTCATAACCATGCTATTATACAAAATTGTGTCCTCATAAACCACATAAACATGCGCTCACACACACACACACACATATATATATATATATAGTTCAGTTCTTCTTGTAAAAAACTTGTAAAATAAAATCATTTACTGTATTTTTGATAAAACAAATACAGGCTTGGTGTGCATAAGAGAAAACAAATGTGGTTTGGATCAGATTTGAAGAAATATTTTGCTGTTCAAACTACAACCAGCTAAACTGATTTGAGCCAGATAACCCAAAATAAAAAAATTTAAAAAAAATTTTGGTGTCTGTCTGAAGAAAGCTAAAGCCACACTCACACGAAACACGAACTCCAGCGGACTCCCCACATCACTGGTGCTGTTCATAGCAGATTCACCAATCACACTGCCACTGAACGACGTGTCAATCACTGATTTTTCTCTGCACACGACAGAAAGAGAATGATAAACTATTAACTATGAATTGTCATTAATAACAGAGTATTAATAATATGTTTGATGCAATTAAGTGAATTTTTCTGTCTAACATGCACAGATGAATCATTTTTTTCTTGTAAATTTCCACATTTTTTTGTAATTTGAAAAACATATCAAAGTACGTACAAGGAAAAGGTAGTGAGGACTGTGTTCTTCACGTTGAGGGTGACAGGAACAGGATACAGATTCTTCTGCTCACTGATACTAATGACAAACACAAACACCATTCAGTCAGTCACAATAAAAGAAAAGGCCTGCATGAAATGACTTCAGGAAACACATTAGTTCAACACTGTGCACTGAGGGGAAACGTACACTGTATAAACAAGAAAGCATTTTAGTTAGTCCAGACTTACGTGGAGAGCTGAAGCTGAGATTCAATCTGCTCGGTGTAAAGCGTTATACCAGAAGTCTCAAAGATGATTATGAATGAGGCCTGTGGAGACGGAAATCAAGGGTGAGAGCAAATTAGCAAAACATATCAGCTGTACACTCTGATTAGCTGAGTTTATTCAGATGGCTCGTGGAAAATGAGCCATTGGAGATGCTTGTTTTAATTAACATACAAATCCGCAGAAAGGTCAGACATTGGACAAGTTTTCAGTAAGAAAACAGACTGCTACCTTCTGATTGCTTTTAAATGGGTTTCCCAGATCGCAAATCACAGTCTCGTTTGCGCTGCACTCAATATCGAAACCAGGCTGTAATAAAGACAAACCAAGAAAGTTAAAAACGGCATTAAGAACACTGAAATGATCTAATTAATGAGTTACTAGGAAGAGTCTCTAATAAGAACTCTAGCTCAGTTTTTGGTAAGCTGCCAATGTTTTATTTTACAACTGTATATTACAACATAAATATATAATATAATATAGTATTGATTTGTTAAAACTATACAACTTTTTAAAGTGGATTTTTGAAAATGACCTTTCATGCAGTGTGTAACACAACTATAAGTGAATGAAAACATCCTGCAAAGTTGTAAATCTGAAAGTGCACAGCGTATAAAGTTATTGTCTCTCAAAAGAAAGAGTCGACTCTGAATCATTGAAACGGGTCGTTTTTAAAACGAATCCCAAGCCGTTTCATGTTGACGTCAACATGAAACATTAGCATATTGCCCACCCACTTGTTGGTCTTTTCACGTTGGACTGAATGAAAATGCAAATTCATTCTTTGCCACTAGGTGCGCTTTTGGAGCGGTAAAATAGCGGTTTCCCCGGTAACTCTGTACGCAAAGCAGCACTGCGCTCACAAACGCTGAATAAAAAAATTTAAAAAAAATTTTGGTGTCTGTCTGAAGAAAGCTAAAGCCACACTCACACGAAACACGAACTCCAGCGGACTCCCCACATCACTGGTGCTGTTCATAGCAGATTCACCAATCACACTGCCACTGAACGACGTGTCAATCACTGATTTTTCTCTGCACACGACAGAAAGAGAATGATAAACTATTAACTATGAATTGTCATTAATAACAGAGTATTAATAATATGTTTGATGCAATTAAGTGAATTTTTCTGTCTAACATGCACAGATGAATCATTTTTTTCTTGTAAATTTCCACATTTTTTTGTAATTTGAAAAACATATCAAAGTACGTACAAGGAAAAGGTAGTGAGGACTGTGTTCTTCACGTTGAGGGTGACAGGAACAGGATACAGATTCTTCTGCTCACTGATACTAATGACAAACACAAACACCATTCAGTCAGTCACAATAAAAGAAAAGGCCTGCATGAAATGACTTCAGGAAACACATTAGTTCAACACTGTGCACTGAGGGGAAACGTACACTGTATAAACAAGAAAGCATTTTAGTTAGTCCAGACTTACGTGGAGAGCTGAAGCTGAGATTCAATCTGCTCGGTGTAAAGCGTTATACCAGAAGTCTCAAAGATGATTATGAATGAGGCCTGTGGAGACGGAAATCAAGGGTGAGAGCAAATTAGCAAAACATATCAGCTGTACACTCTGATTAGCTGAGTTTATTCAGATGGCTCGTGGAAAATGAGCCATTGGAGATGCTTGTTTTAATTAACATACAAATCCGCAGAAAGGTCAGACATTGGACAAGTTTTCAGTAAGAAAACAGACTGCTACCTTCTGATTGCTTTTAAATGGGTTTCCCAGATCGCAAATCACAGTCTCGTTTGCGCTGCACTCAATATCGAAACCAGGCTGTAATAAAGACAAACCAAGAAAGTTAAAAACGGCATTAAGAACACTGAAATGATCTAATTAATGAGTTACTAGGAAGAGTCTCTAATAAGAACTCTAGCTCAGTTTTTGGTAAGCTGCCAATGTTTTATTTTACAACTGTATATTACAACATAAATATATAATATAATATAGTATTGATTTGTTAAAACTATACAACTTTTTAAAGTGGATTTTTGAAAATGACCTTTCATGCAGTGTGTAACACAACTATAAGTGAATGAAAACATCCTGCAAAGTTGTAAATCTGAAAGTGCACAGCGTATAAAGTTATTGTCTCTCAAAAGAAAGAGTCGACTCTGAATCATTGAAACGGGTCGTTTTTAAAATGAATCCCAAGCCGTTTCATGTTGAAGTCAACATGAAACATTAGTATATTGCCCACCCACTTGTTGGTCTTTTCACGTTGGACTGAATGAAAATGCAAATTCATTGCTTTTGGAGCGGTTTCCAATATTATAAGACAATGAAAGTGTTTTTTGACCTTGCATGCATGTCAACCTTTTGTTGAACCAAAATATGAACCTTTAATCATTACCCATAATAGGGGCACTTTAAACAAACTTTACATATTTCATTTTATTTGCTGCTTTCGTTTCTTAGTAGGTTGCCATTACTTTATTTTGCAATAATGACTATAATGGCTATCTGTGCATTACTCCATTAATATAATATAATATAAAATAATATAATATAATATAATATTTGGTAACTTACCAATACATTTTGCAATAACAACTGACTAACCTGTACATTACACCATAAATATAATATAGTATAATATAATATAATACAATATAATGTAATATAATATCAAATACCTACAAATAAACTATTTCACTTATGAAAATAATGCATTTAAAATTATATAGCAAAATTTAGTACAAAATAATCCCCAAATCCAAGAAAAAAAATGTACAGGAAACACAGGAGAATTGATCTCAAATGCGGCTTTTTTATAGCTCAACCAATGATGAAATGAAAGTGAGACCAATCGGACCAATCACCGCAGATTAGCGTCACGCAAAGGAGGGGTTTGGAAAAATTAATCGTTGAGCGAATCGTTTGGGAATCGTTGAGCAAGTAAGGTAAAAATAAATGCATATTATAAGACAATGAAAGTGTTTTTTGACCTTGCATGCATGTCAACCTGTTGTTGGGGACTCCCAAAACCAAAATATGAACCTTTAATCATTACCCATAATAGGGGCACTTTAAACAACCTTTACATATTTCATTTTATTTGCTGCTTTCATTTCTTAGTAGGTTGCCATTACTTTATTTTGCAATAATGACTATAATGGCTATCTGTGCATTACACCATTAATATAATATAATATAATATTTGGTAACTTACCAATACATTTTGCAATAACAACTGACTAACCTGTACATTACACCATAATATAATATAATACAATATAATGTAATATAATATCAAATACCTACAAATAAACTATTTCACTTATGAAAATAATGCATTTAAAATTATATAGCAAAATTTAGTACAAAATAAACCCCAAATCCAAGAAAAAAAATGTACAGGAAATACGGGAGAATTGATCTCAAATGCGGCTCTTTTATAGCTCAACCAGGCACAATTGTTTATTTTTTTGAGATATTACAGAGATCTTTGTGATTTTTCTTTTCTGTGGAGGTGAGATGAAGAGAGAGTGCCTCCGTGTGGCGTCACCTGAGGGCGCACTCCTGAGTATTTGAGTGAGGGGGGAATGGTGATGTTCAGCATGCCTTGATGGGCGTCCTCGGCCTGCCTGCCTCCATCCGGCGTGTTAGTAACTTCCACCATCATCACCAGCTTCTTAATGTTACTGTTGAACTCCATCGTCTGACTGTGAACAAACCAGCACATCCCATAATTCCCATGTGCATTTAAACATTCGTTTTTGAAAAAGACAGTAGCTTGTAAAATGAAATAAATTTAATTTTTATTGCATGTGCATGATGTATGTATCTCTGTAGCATTTTTTTAAATCACATAATATCACAAAATAATTAAAACTCAAATTAAAACTACTTATTTTTTTCCAATAAAAGTTTCCAATACTTTTTTTTTGCAATACTATATAATAACTATAATATAATTAGTGTTGTCAAATGATTAATCGCGATTAATCGCATCCAAAATAAAAGTTTTTGTTTAAATAATATATGTGTGTACTTTTTATATTTATCATGTATATATAAATATACACACATACAGTATATATTTTGAAAATATGTGCATTTACTTACATGTATATATTTATATTCATATAATTTATATTATATATAAATATATTTAATATATAACCATAACATATTTTTCTGAAATATATGCATGCATGTGTGTGTATTTATATATACATAATAAATATACACAGTACATCCACATATACTATGTAAACAAAAACTTATTTTGGATGCAATTTATCGTTTGACAGCGCTAAATATAATATAATATAATATAATATTGGGTAAGTTGCTAATAATTTATTTCTGAAAAATGACGTAAGTGTAAAGTAATACATAATAACAATATAATAGAAATTGTAATCATTTTATATATTTTTATGACATCTATAATATCTTTTTCAGGTTTTACACTTCATTTATTAAAATTATTTTAACCAAATAAATTGTTATTAAGTGGCCACTATATAGTAAACACCATATTATTACCAGTAATATTCCACTCTGATCATTGTTTTACATGGCACACATTACATTAATCATTAGATTTATGAATAAGCGTACTAAAATTAAATGTTAATAACTGAATTCACTCAAAAGACCTCTGAACTTAAATATAAATAAACATTCATCTGTTTGTGTACACATTTTCTTTTGTCCATATTCACCAGTTGTCATACTCACCCGGGGAAGGGAATGTGATTCTCATCTGCAAATGTGGCTTTGAGCTGCAGGTTACTGCTGCACTTGTTGTCATCACCACACTCCTTGTGAAAGTTAATCTGAGGACAAACACACCAGAGCTGTGAGCAGAGGTTTCTGTTCAGCTGGGATGGAAATGCGAACTGGTTTGTACCTCTGTTTTGTCGGTCAGGATCTGCTGGCCGCTCAGCACAGGGAAATCGTCTAGACTCTGGAGTGTTTGCTGTGCTGCTGCCTTCTGCTCGTTTAGAGACACGTTCAGAGTAAACGCTATGGGCTGAAGTTTATCCCTCACAGGAATCTGTAGAGGGGAGAAACACAGCTTCTTTCAATCCTGTAGCTTCTTTACATTCACTAAACTCGCATTACTGGATCAGAATGACATACTACTTAGCTGTATCTTATCCTATGCAAATTTTCTATATGCATTAAGCACCTGCATGATATATGTTGGATAACTCATCTATTATTATTATAACTATCAAACAAACAGACTAACAAACTAAATGAAATAAAATAAAAAAAAGTTAAATTGCCAATACTTTATTTTTCAATAACATCTGCCTAACAGTACATTAAAATATAAATAATCTAATCTAATCTAATCTAATATAATATAATAGGCACAGTAGGCAGTACTATTTCACACTGAACACTCTTACACGGAAGTATCTTATCCTATGCAAATTTTCTATATGCATTAAATATGTACTATATATGTTGGGTATACTTCTTATCTAACTCTTCTTTTATTATTATTATAAATCATCATGTAAATAAATATAACAACAAAGTCACCTACATCTTGGATGCCCTGGGGGTAAGCAGATAAACATCAAATTTTCATTTTTGGGTGAACTATCCCTTTAAGTGAATTGAATTATATAGTTGGAGGAGTGGTTAGTGTGCTCGACTGGCATGCTGACACCTCAGGTTTGAATCCAGGGTGATGCATACATATAATCATAATAAACAATTAAAAGTTGTGTTTTTATTGTTCTTTTCTTCTAATGTGTTGTAACATCGGTCTGACAACTGAATGAACTCTTTGTGAATAAATGTGTTATTTTGGTCATGAAAAATGAACATGAATAAAAGACATCAGGCCACAATGTCTTGCATTTTTTTATACATATAAAGATTTTTATGTAAAAATATGAATTGTTCTGCTGTTGATGGACTCCGCCTACTTCTTTTTTACACAGAATTTCTTCAGCCTTTAAAAAATACTCTCACAAGGGACACTTGTCGCTGGCATGCACAGATACTTTTGGGCTAGGACATACAAATTAGGAAAAATTACTGCTCTCTCCTTCCAGTACATTAGGGGATCATCCCTTCTGGGCAAAAATGCATTCTTGCGTGGGCCTCCATTATTATGTAATCTATCAATATGAATCTATCAACTATGAAATCCTATCTCTAACTTGTTGTGCTATCTGTCACTATCTAACTGAGTCTATATGAATGTGTCACTATATCTATCCTAACTATCTGGCCATGTCTATAGCCTATCTATCAATATCTCAATATTAACTTTTAATCTAGCCTAATTCACCAAGTTACAGTATAAATGTCACTATATCGCAAAATCTCTCTCCTCTCACGAAAACCCACAAGGTGGAGATGCGTTAACTCCACTTTATACTTTATGGGAGTTAGATTGAGACAGATGTGCCAGTTTGTTCCCGATTCTGTCAATCAAACACAGATTCGGGTCTTGAAACACTCGGGAGACGCCCCGATGCTTTGATTCGCATTAGTCACGTGACATGGGTGTTTCGAATCACACTTCGGAGCAGCGTTTCGAAACATCTGCGCTTCGGGATCTCGACACAGTGTCGAAAGGTCAGTTTCGTGTCAGCCATCTCTACCTGTGGTTTTTGGTTGATTGTTTGTTAAAGTTTTTCCATTAAAGGGGTCATATGATGCCCATTTTCCACAAGTTGATATGATCCTTTAGAGTCTTAATGAAAAGTCTAACATAATTTGGTTAAAATTTCTCAATGGTAGTGTAAATCACCTTTTTTTACCCTGTCAAAAACAGTTCTTTTCAGAGTAAGCCGTTTTAGTAGCATTTCCCTTTAAATGTTAATGAGCTCTGCTGACCCCGCCCCTCTCTTCCGAGCTTTAAACTGTAACACAACTGTTACGGTTCGGTTTAGTTCTTTGAAAGAAGGCAACACAAACAGTGGCCATGGGTGCTTGGCGCGGAACACATAACACATAATCCAAAGAGTTTCTATGCTGCGTCTGCCACATTTTATTTTCACTGATTTGACCTTCGAAGAGAAGAATGACGTCACAGCTGATGATGCATCACAAATCGTCACCTTCAAACAACATGTGCTATCAGGTGTTGCTAAAATTCATTTAGAATATTAGACAATTTTGGGGCTGAATGTACATGTGTTTAAAAATATCTACCATTAAAAAATTGGGATAATCTTTTATTTCTTTTAAATTATGCAGTAAACCAATGTTGTTTTAAAATATTAATATTTGAAAAACTTCTGTCAGACAGTGTGGCGTAACCAAAATGCAGGAAGCCATTTTGTTGTCATGTGTTGAGAAAATCCAGCATGAATCAAAGATGACCCCTGTAAACCTTTGTGACTCTGTGTCAAAATTGTTAGGTTTCTTAAATAAGTAAGCTTTTTATGAGAAGCCATGTTTTGTTCTTGTCAAATTGACTAACATATTTATTTTAATTTTTAGACGAATATACATACATAGTCAAACCAAAATTTATTAAGACATTTCTCACATTATATCATAGTTTATTCGCCTATAGTTTATAAAACGGTAATAAAATATGACAAGAACTCAAGAGTTAAACTGTGTCAGAACAAATTCATCTTGATAATGTCAGATAACTTTGATAGAAAGCTATGTAATGGATTACAATCAACCAAAAATGATTCAGCTGTAAAATGTAAGTACACAATTAGGCCCTGTCCACACGAACGCGGTTATTTTTTAAAACCGCAGCTTTTTCTACGTGTTCGTCCACGTTCGTCCACACGCAAATGCAGCACCAGGTCACTGAAACCAACCATTTTTGAAAACGCCTGCCAGGGTGAAGATTTTCAAAAACCCCGGTTGCAGTGTTATCGTGTAGACCGCGAAACCGGAGTTTTTGGCTTGTGACGTCAGCTCCTGCATGGTTATCTCCGCCTACTGGAGACTTTTTCAGGCTTCTGATTGGCCAACATGGCTTTACGGTTGAGATTATATCGCCACCTGTTGGTTTGGCATGCTCTTGATGGCGAATCATAGCATGCGTTTGCGTTTTCATGTGGACGGAGATTTTTTTAAAGGGGTCATATGATGCCCATTTTCCACAAGTTGATATGATCCTTTAGAGTCTTAATGAAAAGTCTAACATAATTTGGTTAAAATTTCTCAATGGTAGTGTAAATCACCTTTTTTTACCCTGTCAAAAACAGTTATTTTCAGAGTAAGCCGTTTTTGTAGCATTTCCCTTTAAATGTTAATGAGCTCTGCTGACCCCGCCCCTCTCTTCCGAGCTGTTCTCAGAGAGACTGTTTACTTTAGCCGCACTCATCGTGAAACTTGCTAATTAGCACATTATTAGGAAAGGCGATTTGCAAAGATTCATTACAAAACATTATACTCACTTCTTCTGTAGATGAGGCTGAATCACGAATGATTCGCGCGAACATAAGACTCATTTAGGCACATCGGGATATACTCACTTCTTCTGTAGATGAGGCTGAATCACGAATGATTCGCGCGAACATAAGACTCATTTAGGCAGATCGGGGGCACATTCCCTTCAGAAACAAACGTAATCCACTGCGAGTTCAGCGGCTCAGATGTCGGGAGTAAATGATGACTGCTATGTTCATTATTACATCCAACAACAGAACACCTCAGTCGCTTAGGAGTCATTCTTGTCTACATCTGCTCCGGCGGTGAAACAATGGCGGACTGATGACAGTCACTCAGGGCGGAGCTAAGGTAAGACGCCAGTCCAGTCTGTGCTGAAACGCTACTGTCAATCAAACTATCGTGGGATGGGCCTGTCTGTGTGACGTCCCACAGACAGGTATCTGAGATCGGCTCGATTTGAGAAAGGGGGAAAGATTTAACGGGATTAAAAAAAAAAAACACCAGGTGGATTTTTATCATTATAGGGTGGTTGTGTACACACACTGCCAACACACATTTCAGTTCAAACAACTTGTAAAAGTGCATGTCGCATCCTATGACCCCTTTAAATACCTGCACATAGATCCTTGCCTCTGTCTGTTTTCCCCAGCTTCTCCACAATGTTAGTTTTTTGTTAGTCTCTCTGACTAGTGCTTGTTAAGATCAGGTACTCTAAGACTTTTACTCAAGTTGTTTTGGAATTGGTGAATTGTAGTGGAGTAATTTTCATTTTAAGGTATCTGTACTTTTACTCAAGTGTGGTTATTAGGTTCTCTTTACACCTCTGCGTCTATGGAATGAACCCATAAAACAAGGAAACCATAGGGTGGTTGTGTACACACACTGCCAACACACATTTCAGTTCAAACAACTTGTAAAAGTGCATGTCGCATCCTATGACCCCTTTAAATACCTGCACATAGATCCTTGCCTCTGTCTGTTTTCCCCAGCTTCTCCACAATGTTAGTTTTTTGTTAGTCTCTCTGACTAGTGCTTGTTAAGATCAGGTACTCTAAGACTTTTACTCAAGTTGTTTTGGAATTGGTGAATTGTAGTGGAGTAATTTTCACTTTAAGGTATCTGTACTTTTACTCAAGTGTGGTTATTAGGTTCTCTTTACACCTCTGCGTCTATGGAATGAACCCATAAAACAAGGAAACCTGTGTGTGTGTGTGTGTGTGTGTGTATTGTGGTGTGATCAGGTGGATTCTCACATTAACAGTAAGTTCCAGTTCTTGACATGCGGGAGCAGAGAAAGACAGCTGGCTTGTAAATGTGCTTTGCTTGTTGTTAAGAAAACGGACTCGAGCGCCACGGCGATTCTGGTCAGCGTCTACTGTGTACTTCACAGCTGAAGCAGAGAGAAACAAACACACGGTTAATCGAATAAAACACAGAGCAAACACTCCTGAAGCAGGCGTACACTTACTGATGGCCTTCCTGAAGGCTTTGTTTCCATTGCTGAGAGAGTAACTGAAACACACCGTCACCTTTATGCTAGAAAAATAACACATAATGAATTATTTTAAACAGTACTACAGGACAAGTATAAGACGTTTATGACCAATTCATACTGAAAAATCAAATGCATGTGTCCTGAAACATTTGTTAGAATAGAAATAGGTGCGCTTTGCCCCCTTACCAGGAATTAACACACTGGCTTGGAATCACAATCTTTGGCTCTACTGTGAAGTTTGTGGAGAGGTGGATGACCGGACGAGCCCTGGAAAACACATCAAATGTCACATTTTGAGAACAGACTGATTTAGTGAAAAAGTTACTAGTTTAAATTTCCACAAATATAAACAATATAAAATACAATATGCACATTAATTCATTATTATATTTATTATTTATGTATTTGCAAATATAAATTATATAAAAATAACATAAAAAATTTAAAAACAACAACAAAAATAATAATAATACTACAATACATTCTATTATTCATTATTATATTTATTATTTATTTTATTTAATAAATTATTTATTTGTTTGCGAATATAATTATATTATATAAAAATATACAACATTAATAAATACACAAACAACAACAAGAACAAAACAATAATACAATTTGTAAAGAAATCCTTACATATGCACAATTTATTGTGAATAATATGAACATCTATAATAATAATAATAATATTATTATTATTATATATTTTTAAATGAATAAATAATGATACATTATATAAATTTATTATTATTAAATTAATAAATTATATAAAAGAAAATATAACAAATAAATAAATAATAACTATTATACTAGTAATAGTAATAATATGTTTATTTTTAATTTATTTGGAATTATAAATAAATATAAATTAAATAAAATACAAAATGTATCAACAAAATTATTATTAATAATCATCATCATTATCGATTTTGTAGAGACACAAAAAATGCGCACAGAAGCACAATTTATATTTGTCTATAGAGCAAATTCCAACTACTGAAAAGGTTTTTAATACCATGAGAAACAAACATTCAGTCCAAGTGTGTCCAAACTCTTGATTGGAAGTGTATGTGTGTATATATAAAAATCTGTATTTGTATATTCATGTGGCTTTTGTGTTTGGGAAAGTATCGTTGAACATCTATAAATGGCAAACACAGCTGAAAGGCTGAACCTCAAGAGAGCGATGCGGTCATCCATGGAGCCCACCAAAATGTCAGGATAATCATTTCCATCCATATCCATTCCTCCACTGAGAGAGTAGCCGAACGTCTGAAAGCCACTGGGACCTAATGATTTCCCCTCGATCGCCTAAGAGAAAGTCACAGTAAATCACTCTCTTCTTGTTCTCATGGTATTTAATACAAGTCCAGATATGGTTGATCTATGTATTGCCGTTTCGTTATCAATGACATGGAATGGAAAGTAATTGTAGAAACATTACCCAACAATCTTAAATAAATTATTCTAAAGGTGTTCCATACAAATACCAAAATGCTTTGCTTTACCTGGCTGGGTTCTTTATTTATTCCATTTTTACTTCCCATCCATATATAGACTTTCCCAGAGTCATGGAACGGAGCACCAACAGCAAAATCTGAAGAAGAAACCCAGAACAACATGATGAACCCTCCATGGCCTCCAGATGGCAGCATTATGACATGAATGACACGAAATTACACATTTCTGCATATATACACTACCACTGAAAAGTTCTTATGCTCATCAAGGTTGCATTTATTGGATCAAAAATACAGTAAAAACAGCAATATTGTGACATCATATGATTACAATTTAAAATAACTATTTTCTGCTTGAATATATTTTAAAATGTAATTTATGCCTGTGACGCAAAGCTGAATTTTCAGCAGCATTACTGCAGTCTTCAGTGTCACATGATCCTTCAGAAATCATTCTAATATGCTGCTTAGGAAACATTTTGTTATTGTTTTTCATGCTGAAAACAGCTGTGCTGCTTCATATTTTTGTGGAAACCTTGATATTTTCCTCAGGATTCTTTGATAAATAGAAAGTTAAAGAAAAAGGACTTGTTTAAAAATTAAATCTCAAAATCTTACTGACTCTAAACTTTTGAAAAGTAGTGTATATACAGTATGTAAGGGGGAAGTCGTGGCCTAATGGTTGCGGGTTCGAGTCTCGTACCGGCAGGGATTGTCGGTGGGGGGAGTGAATGTACAGCGCTCTCTCCCACCTTCAATACCACGACTGAGGTGCCCTTGAGCAAGGCACTGAACCCCCAACTGCTCCCCGGGCGCCGCAGCATAAATGGCTGCCCACTGCTCCGGGTGTGTGTTCACGGTGTGTGTGTGTGTGTGTGTTCACGGTGTGTGTGTGCACTTTGGATGGGATAAATGCAGAGCACTAATTCCGAGTATGGGTCACCATACTTGGCCACATGTCACGTCACTTTCACTTTCGTATGTGTGTGTGTATATATATATATATATTTACATATCATTTCTTATAGTGTTTTTTGATAGCATAGTTTTATTCATTATAATTAGTATAATTTATACTTATTTATTATAGTATTTTCAGCGATACCTTGAAATCCATCCTGATTTACGTCCCCCAGCGCAGCAACAGCAAATCCAAACCCTGAGCCTTTTTTACCCTTCAGAACCAAGCTGGCCTTTTCCTGGAAGGATCCGTTCTCGTTCATGAAGATGTAAACTGCTCCTCCCTCCTCCTTGTAGCGGTCGAAGTAGAACGGAGCTCCAACGATCAGGTCGTTCCAGCTACAACAACACCCAACCACACAAATGTCATGTTATGTCTACATTACGACTGCTTATTTTCATAGAAGTCTTTCATAGCTTTGATAAAGAAGGAGAAACCTGCCATATAGAAGCATTCAGCCGTGTATCTGTTGACATGCTTAAGTATGAAGCTCAACAGGATCTTTGCAAAGGCTCATGGGGAAAGTTAGACATGCTTTGGTCTACTTACTTTGAATTTACTTTCAAACTCAGTGAAGTGTGGTACAGATCAGTTTCTGTGATGATAATGGATTATTGGGTATGAAAACCCAATAGTTACAAAGCTGTGTAAGTATTATTATGTTTTTTATGCAGTGATGTATTGGACCCCATTGGCTTTTATTGTACAGACATAGCTCTTTTGTATATTTTGTGTTCTTTTGAAGATATTTTATAATATGTTACAGCATGGATGATGATTGAGTTACACAGTGACTTACTCGTCATTGTTGAGGTCGGTCACCGCCAAGCAGCCGCCGAAATACGACCCTATTTGTTCCCCTGGGATCGTCGTCACTGGGTTAAGAACCAAATCTTGTTTTTCTGCAAGGATCACTGAACCTTTGAAATGGTCTCTGGGAGCCCCCGTCACCACAGTGTACTTCGAGCGATCCAGTAACTTTATGTCCTCCAGCACAGAGTAACCTGAAGAAAGAGATGAGGATTCTTAAACGTCAGTGTGTGACCAGCAGTGAAGCTACTTTGAGACTGTAGCTTGCCAAGATACTAGAAAGTTTAATCACAGTAGAAATGACAAGTGAAAAATAGGAAAAAAGTTATCTATTCAACATTTATTGTATTATTTATTTGAATTTTTCTGATAGGACAGAGGAGATCTGACAGAAAACAAGTGGGAGAGAGAGAGAGAGAGAGAGGGACAGGATTGGGAAAGGACCACAAGGTGGGATTCGAACTCGGGACACCCGTAAGCGCAACGAGGTTATCGGCACCGATTATTTTATTTTATTTTATTTTATTTTATTTAATTTTTTTATTTTATTTTATTTAAAAAAATGTTTTTCAACGAGGTTATCGGCACCGATTATTTTATTTTATTTTATTTTATTTTATTTTTTTTATTATTATTTTTTATTTTTTTATTTTTTATTTTATGCAGACAGAACAGAATTTATCTAGCAAAATAAAATCAGTTAGATTGACAATAGTAAACAGCATTTATTTAAATGCAAATTTAGAAAAAGCATAGCCTACATACAAAACTTATAAAAGCATATAAAAGCAAATAAAAACATACTTAATATGTAACAATGATTAATCAAATTATTATAAAATGATGAGTAAATCACTAAATAAATACCTATAACACTAATTGAACTAAAAACACTAACATTTATTTAAAATTATATAATTATTATATAATTATTGTTTTTATTATTTTTATTTCACTTTTATAATACATTATTATAAAATTATTGTTAGATTCCTGATAAATCAACATTAAATAGTAAAACACATATAAATCTATATCTATTCTATTATATAAAATGAAACAAATGTATATAAAAATGACTGATAAAAGTATTTTAAGATTATCAGCTAATTAACACTCACAGTAAAACAAAAACACTATAATTAATGCATAAAAATACATTTTTGGGTAAGATTATTGTATAATACTATTTGCTATACAGAAAAAGACATAAAATGCCATGACAAAAATTGTATTTGATCAAATTATTATAAGCAGATAAAACTAATTAACATTTAATATACACATGCAAACAAACAAAAATGACAATTTTTATAATAATAATTTATTAAAAATGACTGTTAAAATGATTGTAAGAATGAAACATGCCAAACACTGACCATGAAGACGGCTATGTCATTTCATTCAGTTTAGTAGTTAACAAAGTCATGCTAAAACATTCATAAGAGCAGTGTTCTTATCTATAGCAATTCTTAAGGAAAACTATTACTATTACAGTAACACGCATTTTTGCATGAGACTGTAAATTGCATTATTGCATGAGACTGTAAATTGCAAAAAAAAAAAAAAATTGCATGCATATGACTGTGAAGTATATATATGTGAAAGTGACAATATATGAATATAGGTATGTAAGAATAAAGAATATATATGTGTGGAAGTGTAAATATATGTGCATGAATGTCAGAAAACATGCATGTGTTGAAAAGTAAAGTGTGTGTATACAAGAATGAATGTATGCGTGTGAAAGCAGAAATATATATGCATGTGAAAGGAAAGAGTGAGTGTGTGAGAGCAGAAATAGACATATGTGAAAGGTGAATGTAGGTGTGTGTGAGAGCAGAAATATGTATGTGAAAGGAGAATGCAAGAGTGTGTACAGCCCCTCATAAAAACCTAAATAAAGTACATACCTATATAGATGTTGAGTCTGTCCTCGCCTAGCTTTCCAAAAGTTATTTCATTGGCATCTCCAGCAAAATCGGAGTTGGGGTCTCTCTCTTTCATATGGACAGTTCCTATATGAACAGAAGAACCTCTTTTATTAACTATGTGACCCTGAAGGATGATCTGACACACCAGATTTGGTTGGTTTTCCCGTACTCACCCTGCCACACAAAGCTGCCGGGCGTCCCAAAGTACACGTCATTCTCCGTCATGCCCCCTGAGATGCCCATGTTACACATGCCCTCCAGGTTCTGGTCATAGTTGAAGTCGCAGAGCTCGTAAGTGTCAGACTGCCAGTAATCAGACGGGTCGTAGGTCAGGTCGTTGCCCCGCACGTAACATTTGCCCACCATACGCTGCTGCTCCTCAGCACCCAGCAGTTTCTTTACATAGCGATGACCACATGCCTGCCAACATGAAAGAAGAGATAAACATGAGGTATTCTGATTAGTATCTGTGATTAGTCATTTTGATTTGATTTAAAATGATTATTTGAGTCTTTAAAAAATAGACTATACATTAAAAATATAAGGTCAAAAGTTTGGAATAATTCAGATTTTTTATGTTTTTGAAAGAAGTCTCTTATCCTCAAGGCTGTATCTATTTGATCAAAAATACAAGAAAAACAGCAATATCGTGAAATATTATTGTAATTTAAAATAAATGATTTCTAGTTGAATATATTAGAAACGGTAATTTATTGCTGTGATGCAAAGCTGAATTTTCAGCATCATTACTCCAGTCTTCAGTGTCACATGATCCTTCAGAAATCATTCTAATATGTGACCCTGGAGCACAAAACCAGTCATAAGGGTCAATTTTTCGAAATTGAGATTTATACATCATCTGAAAGCTGAATAAAAAAGCTTTCCATTGATGTCTGGTTTGTTAAGATAGGACAATATTTAGCCGAGATACAACTATTTGAAAATCTGGAATCTGAGCGTGCAAAAAAATCAAAATATTGAGAAAATCCCCTTTAAAGTTGTCCGAATGAAGTTCTTAGCAATGCATATTACTAATCAAAAATTAAAGGGGTCATATGATGCAATTAAAATTTTTCCTTTCTCTTTGAAGTGTTACAAGCTCTTGGTGCATAAAGAAGATCTGTAAAGTTGCAAAGACTAAAGTCTCAAATCCAAAGAGATATTCTTTATAAAATTTAAGAGTCAGCCACGCCTAGTCAGTGACGCTGTGTTTCGTTGTGAAAGCGAAACTACTTTGTTTGGTCTTCCAAAAGAGGACACGACTAGAAATCAGTGGTTAAGTTGTATTTACAACACTGTTCCAGAACACTTCAACCCAAATATTCAGATGTGTGCAGCGCATTTTATGGAGGACTGTTTCCTGATCCTGGGAGAGTAGACTACAATGCCGGCTGTTCTGACTCACAGACTGTAAGTACGTTTTCATTTAAAGGATTAAATTTCTCCGATCACAAATGCAGACATGGTTTTATGTTTACGCGGCGCGATGCAGCGCAACGCGTAAAAAGACATTATAAGTCATTATAATCAGTAATTATGTCCCCACTGGATGCAACGAATGCCTCGTTTATAATGGGTTTTTATGTTTTTGTCTCGTAGCTCCGGCCGGACACGGCATCACAATATGGTAAAGGGGCGTAACATTTCCGTCACACGCTTGAGG